CGCTCGTGAGGCAGGCGGGGAACCACTGAGCTGAGTCCCCAGCCCTGCCCCAAGTGTCTCGCCAGGGCAGTGCTAGAGAGGCCAGAGCCCAAGCCCAAGTCCTGGCCAGTGCCCAGCACCCTGCTGCCTAACCTGCAGAGCCGCAAAGGGCCTCCTTCCCTCAGGGCCAACAGAGGAACAGGCTGGCAGCACACGGCAGGAACAGTACCAGGGAGGAGCCCTAAACTAGCAAGAAGCTGTGGGCTTTTTTACTTAAAACAGCTGGGTCACACCCGGTCCTCCATCTCCAACACATGTCAGTCAGCATGAAGAACTGATGCGGTGGAGACTAGGCCCCCAGCCCGTGCCTCAGAGGCCCCTGGCTCTGGCTTCCTGCACTCCCCATCCTCCAGCCCAGTGCCCTGTCCTGCAGGCCTCTCCCACCAAGGCCTGCCCCACTCAGTGGCATGGCCCCTGTACCATCGCCGTCAGGGTCCACAGCCCGGAAGTGCATCTTGTTCTCCTTCACAGCCTCCTGGAAGTGTTCAGCTGTCTTCTCCATGATCCAGCGCTGCATCTCCTTGGCGCTGATCCTCCGGTCTGTGTTCACATCCACTCTAGGTGGGCAGGTGGCAGGCAGAGATCAGAAAGGCCCCAGGACCCATGAGAGAAACAAACAGTGACACACTCCACCTGGCAGGGACACAGAAATCCAGGAGGCCTGGGGGCTCACTGGGGGACTTGGAGGAGAACAGGGGCTTCGGGTACAGTGAGGAAGTGGGCAGTTTAGTCTGCAACTGCTCCTCAAAGTACAACAGGCAGAATCATCACCCACCCCCTTCCAAACATGGCTTGTAACATGTTCTCAACACCCTGTCTCTCAGGAACACTCCATGTATGCAGTTACAGGATTCAGGGTGAAGGCCCTGCAGGGTCCTAACGCTGTTTAAGAAGGGAGGAGACACAGGACCCAGACAGACAACAGGAATCCCCAAATACACAGAACAGAGGGAGTCAGAGGAGCCCTGGATGTCACCATGACAGCCAAGCCTGTCCCCTTGGCCCCTGGACTGCAAGCTGCTGTGACCTCTTCTGTGAAGGACCAACCGACCAACCATGGCAGCTGCTGGGCTGCAAGGCACTGGGCACTGTCCACCTCTGGCCCCCAGGCGCCTGCTGACTCAGGGTATTGGGAGACTCAGGGCTGCCAGCTCAACCCTCCCCTCAGGCCACACCCAGCCACAGCTCATCCTGCAGCAGCCTCTAAGGAGGAGCCCTCATGGGAGGCAAATGCAGCCCGTGCATGGCACCTACTTGGAGAAGATGACCATCAGCTTCCTCCGGCTCCTGCGAGGCTCTGAGTCCTCGTCAAAGCCACCCACGTCCTTCCCCAGGAAGACCTCCTGGTGGAAATCCTTGTTGAGGTGCCCATCCATCTCCAGCTTCACCCCATTCAGGTGGTCTGGGGGCAGGAGCTCCTTTTCCTCCCTGTTGGCCGCTCTCTCCCGGGTGGACGAGTGATTGGCCGGCCGTGCAGATGCCTCCATCAAAAGGACAAAACCCAGGAGCCAGAAGCAGTGTGTGGCCAGGCCACAGAGGGGGGCTTGCCTGGAAACCATTGCCATGGGGTCGGGCTGTGGAGCAGCAGCAAGGTGTGGGCAGGAAGCAGCAGAGCTAAGGTAGATCACGGCTCAAATCCAAGCCTTGGGCCCTGCCAAGGGTTCTGAGGGCCCAGCAGAGCCACAAGCTGACTGCCCAGAAAGCTGAAGGTGGATGGCACAGGATTCAGACCCCAGCAAGCAGATGAGTCTACAATAGAAGCAGAGACTCACTGCTTAGTAGAACCCTAAAAATACTTCAAGAAATCCACTTATTTTATAACCTGAGACAAAAGCGATCAAGACTACACACTTTCGGGCTGGGGATTTAGCTCAGTGGTTCTACCGCCTGCCTCGCAAGCGCAAGGTCCTGAGTTTGAGCCCCAGTAACAACAACAACAAGAAGACTTTTTCCTTCAGTACGGGAATGGAACCCGGGGCCTTTGAACTGCATCACATCCTCAGCTCCCTTTTAAATTTTTTACTTTGACACAGGGTCTTGCTAAATTGTAAGTCTCCTAGACTGAATTCAAACTTCAATCTTCCTGCCTCAGCCTCCCAGGCCGCTGGGGTTACAGGTGTGCACCATCAAGACTGGCTCGTTTTTCTCTTCTTCAAAGATGCTAGGAGCCAGGTATGGTGGTACATGCCTGTAACCCCAGCACCCTGGGAAGCTGACGCAGAAGAATCACAACTTTGGGCACAGCATGGGCAACTCAGCAACTTAGTAGGAGGCCCCAGTTCAATCCCCAGCACCCAAGGGCCGGGGATGTAGCTCGGTGGCACCGTGCCTGCCTCGCAAGCGCAAGGTCCTGAGTTCGATCCCCAGTACCAAAGGAAAACAAAACAAAACAAGCCCCTTACATGTAGCAATATCCATATATACATATACAATCCCCAATAACCAGAAAAGAAAAAAAGAAACAAACAAAACACTGGTTTCCAGCTCTGTCTCTCTTCAAAGCTGACACCACCTCCAGGGGCTGACCGGCCCCCAGACAGTGCAGCCTGCCAGCACTGTGACTCTGTCCCTCCCTTGTCACGGGGCTTCCCACAGGATTATGGCCACTCACTCTCTAGCCCAACCTGAGCACTGTGAGGTTGTGACCTTGGTTAGGTCACCTACCTTTCCTGGCCCCAGTTTCTCAATAAGAATCAGGATGCTCCCTGCCCCCTACCCCAAGGCTTTGCTAGGACTGGGCACTGTTCCACACACACAGGTACCCATACACATGTCCTTGCTCACATTCCTGGAAGAACACCAGGAAGGCTCAAGGCACAGAGGGACTCCTGTTTTTCCTGCAGTCTGTCCATGTGTCAAAGCACACCTACCAGTCCCACCAGGTACAGGTGGGGTTCAGTGTGTGTCGCAGCTGTCTCCTGTCCTATAACTTGCAGATCTGGACAGGCAAGGACCCTGTCTCACTCAGCTTCTGCATCCTCACTCCACTGGGCTGGCTGCACACAGACACTCAACAACTGCTGCCTCTGGGGACATCAAACTGTGGCCACTCCCTTTCAGGCCCAAGATGATGTCTGGAACTCCCGTATGATGGGCCCAGAGAGCACTGCAGCGTACTAGGAGCCAAAGGAGCCTGAGGTCCCCCAAGGAAGGGAACCCCAAAGTATGTGGTCCTGGTGGATGTCCTCAGAGCTGCTGAGAGCTGTCTCTTCCCGCCACACATGTGACTCTATTCCCAGTTCTCCTGGCCAGGGAAGGAATGAGCAAGAACCAAGGGAACTTTCTGCTGATGTTAGCTCCCTAACTGCCACCATAAAAACACACTCTGCATAACAGACTGTGCTTTGCTCCCCTCACCCCCAGTTCTGAGGATTGGACCCAAGAAGCACTGTGCTATATCTTAAGAGATTTTTTTAAATTTTGAGATGGGGTTTTCACTAAGTTCCCCAGGCTGGACTCAAACTTCCAATTCTCCTGCTTCAGCAGGATTTATAGGTCACCACACTTGCCTTGTATTTATTCCTTGAAAGAACAGACAGTTCTCGCCAGGGATTTAGCTCAGTGCCACTGGTCCTGAGTTCGATTCCCAGTATCGAAGAAAAAAAAGAACAGACAGTTCTCAATGCCACTTATCTTTTTTTTTTTTTTTTTTGTACTGAGGATCTAAGTTGGGACCTTGTGCTTGGGAGGCAGGCGCTGGAACCACTGAGCTATATCCCCTGCCCAAGGCCACTTACCTTGATGAACTTTGTGGAACAGTTCACTACAACTTGTTATATGTAAAATGTAACCCAAAATAATTACAAATACCAGGCATGAGAAGTAAAACCTTCACCTCTCCATTTACACCAGTCGTTCACCTTATGGAGAGAGTAACAGCAGCACTGTACTACCTGGGCAGCTGCTTGCACGGCAGTGTCTTCCTGTCCCACAGGACAGGATTTCATGGAACAGGTGGCCAGTTTCCAACAAGTAGTCAAAGAATTCTCAATAAACAAAAGTTAGAAACACCTTCAGTGGGGGCAACGTTGTAGTCCCTCCACTTTATCTGCAGTCAATCGCAATCCAAAAATAATAATATTTACCTACACTCATTTAGGATACACTTAGTAACTATTACAGTTTGTCACCACAGCCATTCTGTTCTAGCATTCGCTACAGTTGCTGACCTTTTCCGGGGCCTAATTTATTAGCTAACCTTTGACACAAGAACTTACGGGAAAACTTACAGACCAGGTGGGGCTCAGGATCACCTGAAGCTCCAGGCCCCTAGGCGTCCCGTGGATCGGGGGGACTTCTGTACATCTTCACCATCCAAAGGCTCAGTCCTGGCGAAACACGACTCAGTTTCAGAGCTTTGATGTTTTAGAGGCAGCACCAAGAGCGCTCGCCAGACCCGCCGCTGATGAGGGGGGGCTAGGCCACGGCTACCAGGGATCATGGCGCACACTTTACAACAGAAAAACCGAGGTAGAGACGCTGGGCCACCTGTGAGGACCCTTCGCTGGTCGGGACCTGAGCCCCCGCCTCTCCAGTCTGTTTCCCACGGTACCGTGGGTTCTGGCAGGAAGACACCGGATGAGGCAGCAGGCCAGAACCGCGGACCTGGCCTGGCCCAGAGCGGCAGCCATCTAAGCCTCCGGGTCTGCCCCTGGCGATGCCGCCGCGGAGCCCCAGGCTACAGTGCACGGAGGTCGCGGGGGGGCCCCCACTCACCGGCCTCCCGCAGTGTCGGGTAAGAGGAGGGCGGCGGAGCGTCCGCTACACCGCCAGCGGCTCAGCTCAGGCGGCCGCCATCTTTCTTCCGGGAAGAGGCAGGCAAGCCGTCCGGGGGTGGGGCGAACGGGCGCAGCCTTCCCCAGGGCCTCCGGCGCTGCCATATTTTCTCCGGGCGGAAGCGCCCCCACGGCCGCCCGAGTAGGCCAGTGAGAAGGGCGCACGCGGACACGTGACGGGCAGCCCGGCCCGGTCTCCTCCTCGTCGCCGCAGGTCCCCCGCGAGGTCACTGCGCCCCTGGTTCGCTGCCCCGGGTTCCCGCGGCCCCGCGCCCTGCAGCCCTGTGCGCACGCGTCGCCCCCATCGGAGCCGCGCCTGCGCACTCGGCGCGTCCCCGCCCACGATGAAGCTGTTTCGCCGCGCGTGGCGGCGCCGGACGGCGCTCGGCCTGGGCGGCCTCGCGTTCGGCGGCGCCGCGCTGCTGTATCTGGCGCGCTGCGCGTCCCAGCCCGCCGCCCCCGCCACCGCCTCGCCCCGCGCCGCCGCCTTCCTGGCCGTGCTGGTGGCCAGCGCGCCCCGCGCCGCCGAACGCCGCAGCGCTGTCCGCAGCACGTGGCTGGCAGCGGCGCGGCGCGACGGCCCGGGCGACGTGTGGGCGCGCTTCGCCGTGGGCACGGGCGGCCTGGGCGCCGAGGAGCGTCACGCCCTGGAGCGCGAGCAGGCACTGCATGGAGACCTGCTGCTGCTGCCCACGCTGCGCGACGCCTACGAGAACCTCACGGCCAAGGTGCTGGCCATGCTGGCCTGGCTGGACGAGCACGTGGCCTTCGAGTTCGTGCTGAAGGCAGACGACGACACCTTCGCGCGGCTGGACGCGTTGCTGGCCGAGCTGCGCGCGCGCGAGCCCTCGCGCCGCCGCCGTCTCTACTGGGGCTTCTTTTCAGGCCGCGGGCGCGTGAAGCCGGCGGGGCGCTGGCGTGAAGCCGCCTGGCAGTTGTGCGACTACTACCTGCCCTATGCGCTGGGCGGTGGCTACGTGCTCTCAGCTGACCTGGTGCGCTACCTGCGCCGCAGCCGTGTGTACCTGCGCGAGTGGCACAGCGAGGACGTGTCGCTGGGCGCCTGGCTGGCACCCGTGGACGTGCAGCGCGAGCACGACCCGCGCTTCGACACCGAGTACAAGTCCCGCGGCTGCAACAACAAGTACCTGGTGACTCACAAGCAGAGCCCGGAGGACATGCTGGAGAAGCAGCGCTCGCTGCTGCACGATGGCCGGCTGTGCGCGAGCGAGGTGCAGCTGCGCCTCTCCTACGAGTACGACTGGTCGGCGCCGCCCTCGCAGTGCTGCCAGCGGAAGGAGGGCATCCCCTGACCCAGCCAGAGGAAGCCTGGCAGGGCCGAGATGGACGCCAAGTGGCCCGGACAGCTTTGAGGCCCAGGAACGCCTTGTAGGTGTGCATACCGGGTGCCGCGTGCTGACCCTGATGCAGCTAGCAGGGCCCTGGCCTGTGGTGCTTCCCTGCCACGGGGGCCTGGACATCCCCCTTACCTGCCCCAGCGACTGCGGTCGGGGTTCACTGACCACCTGGACCAGAGCGGGGACAGAGCCGCTGGCAGGCCCCTGCACTGAACTCACCCGGGTGGCACACAAGGGGTTTTCGCCAAAACTGCCTTTGTACCGTTTGGACAGATTGTTTTTTGTCTCTGGTCGGTATCATTGGTCATGTTTAAGTCAGAATTGAGTCAGCCACATCGATTAACTTTGATGGCGTTGTGGTCCTAGAGTTCGTGGTAAATATAACTCAGTGTTTGCCTGCGTCCTATTTATAAGTGCTGTTATTTGTGTAGATAAGCTTTAGGTTGGGAGTGTCTGGATGTTTTAAAAAATTATTTGAGAAGAGACTTCTGTCAGAACTTGGAATTTGTGGGTTAATCCGCCGACAGCTTGATTGTCTGACCCTGCTGCTGTGTTTAAACATGAAGAATTTTCCCCCAGCCTATTTCTCTTTTAAGTTTACACATAAGTCAGTCCCTTTGTCTCTTTCTGAACAGACTTTCCTTTTAAGGCCTCCACACAGGCATTCAGAGTCCCTGTTACTCAGATCAGCCCAAGTTCCAGGAATCAGCCCTTGGTGTGTCGACAGGGCTTCCCAGATTCTGTCTTGAGAAAACAGGATTTGCTGGCCAGCACCCGACCACACAGAGCTTAACGTGTCTAACACATCCTTTTTTTTTTTTTTTTGAATTTTGCTTCCATTTGATGTGAAAAGGGAATTCATTGGTCATTGCAGAATTGAGCTGGCACAAGGACAGGCAGCTGGCCCTGTGGTGGCCTCAGCTGCAGCCCTGCACATTGTCACTTGTGCTCTTGGGCTGGTGAGGCCTTGTTGAGTTCCCTGGCTCTGTGGTCCCCGGTTGGGACACACGACTGCCTTTCATAACCCTGCTTTTGGATTCTCGGGCCGTGAGCTTACTCTCCTGAGGGAGGAATACCCAGGCATTGGACCTGCAAGGGGGCCTGTGGTCACCGGCCTGCCCTGCCCTTTTGTCTTCAGAGGGTCGATGGGCCTGTTTGATTCAGAGGTGGGTGCCAGTGAGCTCCCTAACAGCCCCTTGAAGCCAGGATGAGCTGCCCTAAATGTGCAGTGGGAAGAACTAAGCTGAGTGGAAAGGAAGGGTGTTGTTAACAACAGGACCATGTTTGTGCCAGCTGTTTCACCGGCCCTTGCAGTCATTTGAGAAGTTGACATAGCTCCATTCATCAGATGAGAAAGCGGAGCATGGAGAGGCTGCAGGCCAGGAGACCATGTGGCGGAGGCAGAGCTGGACTTGAACTGAGCTGGATGTCTTCCATGTGGCACAGTCCGTGCCATCCACACAGCACAGATGTCCAAGGTGGCCGTGGGAGGAAGTGTAAACATCCCCCATGTTTGCTGATCTGGGAAAACATTTGACCTACAATAGAGGTCTGTGAGACTAGGCCTGGCCCTGTGAGGATTCAGGAGAACCACGTGGTATTGGCATATGAAACAGTTTTGACCTACAGAAATAGAAGGTACACCTGGGTGTGGTGGGGCACACCTGTAATCCCAGCTGGTGGGAGGCTGAGGCAGGAGGAGTGCCTTGAGTTGGAGACCAGCCTGGCCTGCCTATTGAGTTCAAGGCACCCTGAACTAGTAGGGAGACCCTGTCTCAAAAACAACTGCCAGGTGTGGTGGTGCACACCTGTAATCCCAGCACTCAGGCTGAGGCAGGAGGATCACTATGAGTTCAAGGCCAACCTAGGCTACTTAGTTCAAGACCAGCCCGAACTACATAGTGAGACTCTGTATCCAAAAACAAAAAAGCTTCATATTGTTCAACCTGAAACATTAAGCTTTAAAGCAGAACAGAGCCACCCTGACTGACCCTCCCATCCATCCTGCAGTGCCTGTGGCCACTTACTGTCCAGTCCTGGGGGTAGTGGACCTCAAGGAGCCCAGCTGGTCTGCTGGCTTCTGCCTCTGTTCGGGACCCTATTCTGACCCCAAATCTGCCCTGCAGAGTGTCCCTGCTGGGGAGCTGGCCAGGGCACTCGCACCTCTCCTAGAGCCCACAGATTGGCAGGGCTGTCTGACCCCAGGTGCCAGCAGGTCCCTGGGAGATGAAAGTTGGATCCCCAAGGCCACTTTTGTGGGGCACCTGAGGTACTCAACAGCTTGCTCTTCTTAGGCCAGACCTCCTAAAGATCACAGTAAGATCCCTAAGATCACCCCATCCCGACAGTGAGGGACACTGGACCGGGATGTGGTGATAGTGAGTGGTGAGCAGCACCCCAAGGTGCCCAGGCTGCAGGGAGTGAGGCAATCCTGGGGAAGGGGAACCTCTGCTGCCCCCTCCTGGTGACTGTGGCCTCTCTACCTGCGAGGCTGAGGAGTGGCACCAGAACAGCCTGAGGACACAGACTGCCCGCCAGGCGTAGTGGTGCACACCTGTAATCCCAGCACTTGGGAGGCTGAGGCAGGAGGATCACTGCAAGTTTGAGGGCAGCTTGGTCTACACAGCAAGACCTTGTCTCAAAAAAAAAAAGTCCAGGGATTTAGCTCAGTGGCACCACACCTGCCTCACAAGCACATAAGGTGGTGAGTCTGATCCCTGGTACCAAAAAACCTGCCTGTGTCTGGGTCCCCCAGGTCCCCACCCCACCCTTCAGCCCTCAGAGCACCCCAGCTGAGGACAGACTGGGGGCAGACCCCGGGGAAAGGAGCCCTGGAGACCTGATAGAGGGTCAGCTCTGCATCGGCGCCCACCTCACAGGCTGTGCCCAGCTGTCACCATGATTCTCAAGCTCCTGGTGAGGACTGAACTGTGCCCCCAAAGGTGTGCTGAAGCCCTAGCTTCAGTTCCGGTGAAGGAGACCTTATTTAGAAACATGATTAGTTGAGAGGTCCCGGATCCGGTAGGACTGGCCCTTACAGGAAGAGGAAGCAGACAGGAGAGAGGCTGTGGTTGGCCAGTTCCCTAAACGCCAAGGAACCTTGAGGTGGGAGTACCAGCCTGAGGAGGAGAGGAATCCACCTGGGGCTACAGGGTAAGTAGTCAGCTAAGGCCTTGACTTGGGTCTTTCAGAAACTGTCCCTTAAGTCACAGGCCATGTGGTGCTTTACCCCCAGAAACCAACAGACTCCAGGTGACACATGGGAAGGGAATGAAAATGGAGGGGCCTCCCAGACCCTGAGGCCCAGGAGGAGCAGCTGGCTACAGACACCCTAGGTTCCCAGAGGAGCTGAGGAGGAACAGAGAGGAGGCTGGTGTTGGAAGCCCTGCTGCATCCTGGGTTGCTCAGCCATTTGACAGTTCTCCAGTTGAATTTGATTTGCTCTTTAGTGCTTGCCTGGAAAAGGGCTTGGCCTTGGCCCCTGTTCTCCTCAAAGAGGCTCAGGTAAGCTGGTGTCTCCCACGGGGGGCAGGGGACAGGCCTGCCTGTCCCCTGAGGCCACACTTGCACACTCGCCTGTGCAATCACCATGGGACTGGCCCAGCTCTGGGGTCTCTGAGCAAACACAGGGAGGGACCCAGGGCGCCTTGGAGAACAGCAGTCCTCTCTTGGGTCCTCCACCCTCCAAGATGCCTGTGGGACCCACCCCTGTCCTTTGGAGCTGCCCTTCACCCCTCCATGTTACCCCCCTGCTGACGCAGAACCCTGGCCACCCTGTCCTGTGGGGTCCCCGCAGGGTCTCCATGGAGCCCATCTCACCCTTCCCCCAGGAGTCTTGAGCCTCCCCCTGGGGGACAGGTGGCTGGAGCCAAGGGAACACTGTGGGGTGATGTAGGGAGAGGCAGGTGCTGAAGGGTGCAGCCAGGCTGGGCCTCCTGTCTCATTCCCCAGAGCCGCACATCTCTGCCCCCCGCTTAGCTGCCAGTGAGACTGCAGTGTGCTCAGTGTGGCTGGGGGCTGGGCCCGCACCACACCGTGGTGCCCCACCTGCCAGCTGGCCTTGGGGCTGGGTTGGATGCTATTGGAGGCTGGGTAGAAGGAGAGGTGCAGACAGGCTGGACAGCCGTCCGCGCCATCCTCTAGAGTAAACACCGTCCAGGGCAGCCTCTAGCCCAAGTGGGCCTGCGTCTAGCTCCACCTCCCGCTGACCCAGGGCCTGGCCCGGCCCTTCGCCCTGAAGAGGAGGAAACTCAAGCCCGGCCCCTCCCTCCAGTGGCGTCTGAGGGTCTCTGCCGGCCCAGCCTCCCACAAGGGGCCCTTCGGCCTCCCAGCCGCCCACCTCTGATCCCAGGAGGAGTGATGGATGGCCAGCGTCAGCTCAGTTCCCGGGTGGCGTCGGAAGGGCCAGTGTCTCGCCTGCCTCCTGACAGCACTCAGCCCTGCCAGCCTCAGAGACAGACTCACACACAGTTGCCTCAGAGAGGCTCCTCAGGCCTTGGGGTGTCCTGCGGGGGGTGGCCCTCTGGCCTGCAGGGAAGGTTGGGGGACTAGAGGCAGGTTTAGGGGAGCTGGGGCACTGCTTGTGGAGATGCTTTGCTGCAGAAATGGGCTTCACTCAGCCTCGAACACCCCAGCCCCAGTGGGGCGGTCTCAGGGCTCTGTCTGGGCACAGGTAAGGGCGGGAGCCGCCAGGCCACACGCGTGACATGCCTGTTTTGAAACTGATGTTATCACAGCTGAGCAACCTGTGAGTCACTGCCCCAGAGTAGGCTGCACCCCACGTTTTCCCAGACAAAGACCCTTTGTCCCCAAACCCTGTGTGCCTGCCCACCTGAACAACTGTCAGACTTGCAGGCAGACAGAGACGCCAATGGCATGGCCAGGCAGACAAGGCCCCAAGCCTGCCCTTCAGCCCACCCAGACCCAGCTCCAAGCCAGGCTGAGGGACCGCCGGCTGCAAGAGGCCCCGGACTGTGAGGTCCTGCTGGGTGGAACCTGAAGCCACGCAGAGCTGGGGTGGCCTGAATGGGAGCCCAGAGGCAGCCGCCCATGCCCACTAGGGAGCAGTGGCCTGGCCTCGCCACGGGCACTCTGCTCGGCTCCTGGCCACAGCCCCGTGTGAGGCCAGCACAGAGGGCACAGACAGAACCTCGCTGCCCCCAGAGCTGCCCCAGGACAGGGCCCAGGAGCCCCTGCAGCCTCCACCAGCACCTCACCCAGTCGTGGCCTTCACAGGAAACCAGCTCGAGGTCCTGGGCCCACCAGCCAACTCCCTGACCACGACCACAGCCACTTCTTTTTTAAGTTTTTGTTTTCTGCTCCCTAACTAGCGACAAAGAATCCTTTAGTTTTGCTTTGTGCTGTGTTTTGGGTGAGGTCTCGCTCATGCTGCTCAGGCTGGCCTCAAACTCCCGAGCTCAAGTTCTCCTCCTGTCTCAGCCTCTCGAATAGCAGGTCTGCAAGTGTGCAGCACTGAGCCCCGCTCTACCACAGCCCTTTGAGGTGGATGACTGGTGAGCCAGGCTCTGGCCCTGCACACTGCCCTGAGGTTGCTCTGTAGGGGCCTGGTGGTTCTGGCTCCTTGAAGAAGCCCTGGTCCTGGGGCAGAAACCACCCCCCACAGACACACATACGTATACCACCCACATGGACACAGGACTCGGCAGGATGCTGGCTCCTGACGGCACCGTCACGGACCTTCAGCTACCAGCACAGGTGCCTGGGTACACACAGGGGAGAGGTGTGCAGGCCCTCAGAGCGCCCCCCACACTAGGCTGCTCTTGGTCCTCAGCCCAGGTGACATGAGTGAGGACAAGGTCCGAGTCTGAAGGCTGGGAGTGCCCCAACTTGACCGGGCTGCAGGGACCAGGCCAGCACAGGCTCCCTTTGCACCCTGGGACCACGGCAGATGGCACTTCTGTCTGCTACTGGCAAAGCCACCTACACCCAACAGGTGGCCCTGGCTGCAGCCTGGCCCTTAGCCTGGCCGAGAGCCCCGCCCTGCCCAGCTCTGCCATTCCTGGCCCCTGCCTGCCCCCAAAAGGACATTGCAGCCACGCTCAATAACAGGTCCACGCTCCTGTTTGTGTCCAAACCCAGGACAGTGCACCAAGGGTGTGTATGGGATGGGGAGGGGGTGACAGATGCTGGCCCAACGCTGAATTCAGCACAGTCACAGCACCCCGGGTTCAGGAAGGGCTCAGCCCACACCTCTGCAAGGCGGAGGTGCGGCCCAATCATTCCTCCAGGTCAACCAGGAGTCCTGACCCTGGCTCTCACCGCCCCAGCCCCAGCCTGGCAGGTAGCAGGGTCAGACTGAGGCTCTGGGAAGTCAGCCTGGTGGTGGGGTCAGCAAGACCAGCCAGTGCCTCCTGCTGTTCCAGGGCAGGCTCAGGGTCAGGGGTCAGACCGAGGCCATCCAGCACTGCCCAGGGCCAGCTGCTCTGGCTCTGGCCCCAGCTGAGGCTGAGAAGCCGTCTTATGCCTAGGCCCCTTCGTAGTCCAGCCCCCAAACAGGGGAGTCCAGGAGGAAAGAACTGCCTTTGCTTGGATTCCTCCTACCCATGGGACCCCAGCCAGCCCCACACCCAGAGGGCACAGTACGGATGCCTTCGGCCCACTGACCGGATGGTGTTCAGGCCAGGTGCCGACAGGTGATTCTTGTCCACCTCAGGACGCCAGAGCCACACAGTCTGGCTGGGTGCAGCTGGAGGCTGGGCCTCCTGTGTGCTTGGGGCCTGGGCCTGGACCCTCCTGCCTCTGGCACCCACCCCGCCTGGCAACCAACCCCTTGCTGCTGGGCCTCAAGCCACATTCCAGGGGAATTGCAGCTAAGTGGCTAATGACCCCCAAAGGGAAGGGGTGGGGAAAGAGGAGGCAGAGGACGCAGGTAGTCAGGCGCCGAGATGCAGGCCCACCCGTCCTGGCCACCTGCCCGGGCCTGGCCTGCAGCTGCCCCACCCACCGCGTCTCTCCTCTCTCATCTCCCTGTCGGGCTCCGGGGCCTCTGTCCAGCCTGTTTGCATCTCAGTCGTCTCAGTCCTCAGTGCAGAGGAGGGGTGGAGAACTGGCTGCCATGCAGAGTTAGGAGACCCCTCGGATGTGGGCCTGGAGGGTCTGTGGGCGCCGGACCCCAGCCCCAGTCCCTGAGAGGGAGCCACCACTGGGAAGCAGGCAGAGGAGAAGCCCTGGAGACCCCGATGCCAGCAGGGCACCCATGGCCCCAGGAGTCCCGTGTCCTGGGGCTCTGCACACCAGTGTCCTGCCACCCTCCCCTCCCCTGCCCTGGCGCCTCGGGGGCCATGAGCTTGGCATCTTCAGGACAGACCCTGGAAAGTCGCCTCAGCGTGGCGGCCATTTGCCCTCTGTGGTGAACACTGACCAGTGTGCCCATGGCTGGGGCTACAGAGGGCGACCCCAGGCCTACAGGCTGGCCATGCCTGGTGAGGGTGCTGAGAGGGAAGGGGTCCCCAGGCCTGGCCTTCGCATCTGGCCTGGGCCCTGTGCCCAGTAACCGGAGAGCCGCAGTAACTGGAAAGTGAGAGCAGCGGCAGGCAACCTGAGGGAAGCCGGCCCCTTGGGGCTGCAGTGCTCCACGCCAGCCTGCTGGGCCCTGATTAGAGGGGCTGGTGGTGGCAGCTGCAGGGAAGCACAGAGCCCTCCAGATGCCACCACGGTTCCCGGGAGAGTGGGAGCGGCAAGGTGGGCAGGGCTTCCCGGCACAGATCAGACTCCACTGGCGCCACCACGTGCCTGGCTGGGCCCGCCCCACGCCCCATGCCCAGGCAGACCAGGGTCCCGTGGAGCGACGGCCCTTAGACTGCACCCACGGCCTTACCTCTTTGGGCACCCCGGGGTGGGGAGGTGGTTTCCCACCCAGTCCTGGGGATAGGAGCACCGGGGTCTACTGGGCCCCCACCTCATCTGTGGGACGGTCAGAGGCCACGAGCCCACTGCCACCTGCGAGGGCATGGGTGCCAGTGCAGAGGGCATCTCAGCAGCCAGGCTCAGGCAGGGACACCCTGAGACAGTTTACATTCTTTGCTATGGGTTTGCTGAGGACAAAATGGAGTAGGCATGTGGCCCCAAAGGGCTCAAACCCACAGGACATGAAGCCAGCGGCTTGGCATGGCTCCAGGGCCACAGGGCTGCTCAGCCCACGCCCCACATCCACAGCCACCATGCACAAGGTGACAAGACGCAGGCATCTGCTGGCAGTGTCTTCCCACCAAGCCCGGGCGCTGGGTAGATCTGGGCTCACAAATGGCCTCCAGCTTGGCACGGTGCCTGTGGCTGGCATGAGGGCAACGCCTGGATCCCTTCTGCCCCCAGCAGGCCCTCCCAGCGCTCCTTGCTCACCTGGCCCTTCCACATCGTACCATCCTCCCCCCAGCCTAAGGACAATGGGTCTTGGGGAGCCACAGCCTGCTCCCCTCCAAGGCTGGACAGGCAGGCAGGGACCCATAGGGACATCTGTCCTTGTCCTCCTGGTAAACACAGCTATAAGAAAGAGCTCCCTGAAGCTCGGCCGTCCATCCGCCCATGTGCCCCATGGACATGCCCTTCTGCGCCCCAAAACCCGTCCCAGACATCAGCTGCCCAGCACCCCCCCCCCAACGCAATGACCAGGCAGCACCCATGGGCAACAGGGAGGGTTGGGGCTCTTTATTGTTGCAATCACAGGTGTCAACACGGGGATCCTCTTTGCCTCCTCCCTGAGGCAGCCGGTGGTTCCTCTCCAGTGCCCTCATGTACCCAGGAGCAACCCAGAGAAGGTGGAGCCCCCCTGGATGGTGAGGGCCGCCCCAGAGCCATTGTCCACAAACACAGAGGCGTACTGTCCAGCCTGCAGGCACCATCCAACCATCAGCACTGTGCGGCCCCAGCCTGGCACCCCCACCCCCCGGGAGAGCCCACAGGGTACCGAGTGCCTGTGGGAGCGCCCTCACGCAGCCCTCACCTGCAGCTGCAGCAACCCTTGCACCTGTGCTGTGAAGACCCTGCTATTGCTCTCCAGGCCTGAGACGGCCTCCAGGGACCTGGGCACAGCACCACAGTCAGCAGGGGCCCCAGGATACCACCCACTACCAAGCCCTGGGCCCAGCTGGGCACACTCACGTGTAGCGCTGGCACAAGGACTCGATGCAGATGAGGACACGCACAGTGTCCCGGGCTCTCAGCTGGGCCCTGCCCTGCAGTGCACTGCGGTCTATGGAGACACTAGCTTCAGGACACCAGCCGGGACAGGCCCGGAGGTAGCTGCCGGCGTGGGGAGGGCAGTGTGGGGCCAGGGCTCCCAGAGCAGTCTGCAGCCACCTGGGCCAGCCCACCCTCCGCCTCGCACGCAGTGCCTGGCTCACCCACATGAAGGCTGGCAGAGAACTGGAAGATGGCAGAGGTGGGGGCTGTGAATCGGCCAGAGGCCAGGCTCAGTCCGGACCCCCTCAGGAAGGCGCCCTGGGCGGCGGGCTGTGGGACAGTGGGTGAGTGGCTGGCTCTTGCAGAGCCCCACCTCACAGTGGGCAGGGCAGGGCAGACCCAGGCATCCCACACCCACCTGGGCCCCAGGCCCCACACCCACCCGGGCCGCCCAGCCCTTGGGCCCTCACCTCGCCCCACTTACAGCCTGGAAGCCCCGTATCTCCATCAGGGTCCTCTGGTCCACCAGCACGGGGGCATTCAGCCGGCAGTGGAAGGCCTCGACCACCAGTCGCCGGCCACTCACCTGCGGCAGCCATGCGTCCAGCAGTGCCGAGAACCTTCGCTCTGTGGCCTCTGTGGGGAAGAACCAGATGCGACGCGGGGTCAGGCCCTCCCAGGCTGGGGGCCCTTGGGACCCGGCAGGAGCGGCCGGCAGCCTTACCTCTCAGCATCTCCTGAAACTCCTGCAGCAGGGCCTCTGGGGTGACTTCCACACCAGGGGGGCCGGGGGGCCCAGGGGGCCCAGGCGGTCCTGGGGGCCCCAAGAGGCCTCGCTGTGAGGAGACAGGAGGAGAAAGTGAAGCCCTGGTAGGAGCCGCAGCCACCCGCTGCTCTGGGCTTGGACTCCTGAGAGGGTCCTGGGGGCCTCGAGGTGCCCAGCTCACCAACTTCTTGTCCCGGCACCGGCACCGGCGCTTGGAAGCGCTGTCATCTGGCCGACGGACAAAGTTCAGCCATGTCATGTGGGCATCTGAGAGCTCAGGGCCCGAGGCCTCCGGCGGCTGGAAAGCCAGGGACAGGGATAGTGCCCTGACACCAGGCCCGCCGGCCCCTACCCCTGCACCTGAGACCCCTGGGGACACGCACGCTCACAGGATGATGACACAGGACCTCTGCAGCCCAAAGGACCATAGGGGCCAGCCACCCTGGGATGAAACTCAGACACACTGATGAGTAGGAGCACAGGGAGGGTATGGACTTGGGCTCTGCACAGTCAGGGCCTGATGCCTGGGTACCCTGTGCAGGCATGGGTGTGACCCGCTGGCCATGTTCCCATGCAGAAGGGCACGGCTGGGTACACATGGGCTTCTTGCCAAAATGTGCCCCTGACAGTGGCTTGACCCTGCTGGGTGAGGGAAGGGAACACAGGGCAGTGGGCTGGGGAGTGTGGCTGGTGGGGGATCAAGCCCTTTTCTGGGACCAACCAGCAAGTGTGAGGAAGTCTTCACCCAACTGGCAGGAGGTGCTTGGAAGGGACAGGAGCAGGCTGCTGCTGGCTGTCTGGGAAAGCCTGGCTGCTCCCGGGGAACCTGGCCTTGCCAGGAAAGGTCCAGTCCTGAGCTAGGCCCTGGCCCCAGCAGTCCGCTTGGGTGCTGGGAACAGTGTCCTGTCTGGCGGCCCTTCCCAGGGACCAGACAGGCTTCCATCCTAACTGCTTGGAGCCGAAGCAGCAGGCAGGGAAAGAGAAGCGAGAGCATCTAAGCCCACCCAGTGCCTCGAAATTCAGTCTCCCTGTCCCCCTGGCCAACATGCCCCCTCCCCCATGCCCACTGGCCCCTCCAGCAGGAAGGAAAAGGACCTGGGGGCCACTCAGCTGGCTCCCTCCCTTAGAGGCACTGCCCCTGCTGGGCAGCCAGGCCAGTGTTAGGTGGACACCTCCTTCCTCCGTTGATGACGACTGGGGTTGTTCGGACCCCAACCCTGCCAGGGACCCCCATACCCCAGGGCCCTGCCTAATGTGGGGGGGGCGGCTCTCTGCCTACTCCTCCTCACTTTACCCAGCCTGCCATGTGGAAAATGGCCCCAGGCTCTGGGGGGCTGCGTGGGCCGAGGCACCCCGGCTGGCTGCCACGGAGCCGCCTTTGGGAGGAAAGGATGCCAGGATCAAAGTGTGGGACTGGGGGTCGTGCCAGGGCACGGGCCCCGGGGGCAGCAGGAGATCCTGAGGCCAGTCCTCTGAAACCCTCTGCCCAAGAAGGCATAAGCCCAGGCTCCTGTCTCCAGGAAGTACAGGAGACGGGCCCACCACGCTGGCTCCAGCCTCAGGAGTGGGGGAACCATCCCCCTGCACAGGTTCTGGTGGCCACCTCCACCTGGCCTGCAGCCCCTCCCCAGTCCGCCGGAATTAGCAGTCACAGCGGAGGGCAGCAGTCTGCCTTCAAAGGGAGGACTACAGCCCCTGGGCAGCCCTCTGTTCTCCAGCCCGCCCCCAGGCCCGCCGGGGCAGGAACAGGCTGCCAGGGAGAGGGGCTCCGCTCCGCTCAGGCGGGTCCCACCAAGACAGGGGCAGCAGCTACAGCCGCGAGGACGCCCGGAGGCAGAGCCCGTGCCCACGTGCGCCTGGCCCGCGCATACCTTGGCGGAGCCTGGCAGCCCCTCGCTGTCTGACGCCGTGGTGTTGGGGGACTCTGCGCGCTGGCCGGGCGGGCGCGGCCTCTTGGGCTCCCGCCGCGCCCCAACCCCGAGCAGCGCGAGCTGGGGCCACAGGAGGACCACAGCCACCGCCGGGGCCCAGGGCTGCATGGCTCGTGCGGCTCAGCGCCCGGGAGCTCTCATGGGGGCGGCGGCCTCAGAGCCCCCGCGCTGGCTTGCATGTCTGCGGGCCCGGCACCAGCGCGGAGGAGCGCTCCCGTGCGGGCTTTCACTGCAGAGCGCTCCCCAGGCGTGGCCAAATGAGCCTTGGGAGCCCTGAGGGGAGGGCTCACAGGGCCCACCCGCGCCCCTCATTTGAGCCGAGCGGGGCGGGGCGGAGGGGATGACCAGGAGGGGCCGCCCCGCCCCGCCTCCAGGACTTCCTTCCCAGGACGGTGGCCCAGGCTCCCCCAGAGCTTCAGTTGGGCACACAGCTCCAGCCGCCTCAGCGACCCGCCTGCCCCTGCCGGGCTGCAGCACCCAATACAGGCCCCCGAGAGCGCAGCTGCACTCAGGCCCATCCAGCAAGGACAGATGTCAGCCGGACACAAGCGGCCCAGCTGGACCCCTCCGCTCCCCAAGAGCAAAGAACCTCAGACCTGTCCCCAGAAGCTCAGCATGGGCCGGAGCCCTGGTGAATGCACACTGCAGGGTGTCCTGCTCCCCAGTCCCTGGCCACCAGGGTTCTCTTCCCCCAGATGGGTGGGACAGCAGCAGTCCCCAGAGGGGGCTCCCAGGTTCCTAACCCCTGCCAGGCCGCATTCGGGTCAGCTGGTCCAGCAAAGCCTGCAGGCCCTACTGGCTCGGCGGCAATAGGTAGGGGTCCTCCAGGGGCTGCCCCCTCAGTTAGTACGAGCTGAGGCTAAGGATGGCCAGTGGCTGTGGCAGCCCACAAAGTGAGGTGGGCACATTGGTCCCAGCCGTCTGGGTTCTGGCAGACAGCAAAGCTCCTGACCCAGCCTAACTCCAGCACTCAAGGAAGGTGAAGGTGGCCAGGCAGGAGACCCCACCCCAGACCACATCCGCAGCCAGAGCTCCCCAGGACAGAGGTGGGGCAGGAGGCTCCCCAGGGGCACCCACCCAGCCGGTCTAGGTGTCACCTCTAGGGATAGCAGAGGCCCCAGTGTCACTGTTGGGCCAGATGTAGATGATGGGGTAGTGAGGCACACCCCCAACAAACCCGGCCCTAGAACTCCAACGGGTGACTTCTAAATGTGAAGTGCACCCCACGGGTGTGGCTCAGGGCAGGGGCAGTTGGGCAAGAGCCTAAGGAGGCCCTGCCCAGGGCTGCCAGGCCTCCTCACACGTGGGGCCTAACCTTCTGACCCGACGGCAGAGTGCTGCAGAGGACTCCACCTCTGTCCCACAGGGGTGGACTCCACAGAAGCCCTCAGCTCTCTGGCCTCAGTGCCCCAGACTATCCCCAAAGTCCTACACCAGCCTCACTGGCACCCCAGATTCTAGACCCTTGGAGAGGAGGCGCATACTGGGCTACAGGCTCTGCTCATCCAGCCCCCAGTGCAGATCCTGCCAGGCCCTGGAGCAATGGCTCCCGCAGGGACCCTTAGCAGGGAAAAGGGCATAAACTTTGCTGCTCCCAGAGGCTTCGTAATAAAATCCCAAAGGCCAGCCTGGGGGTGTTTTCCCAGGGGTACAGCAGGAGGCTGCTGGAGCAGGGTGGGCAGAGCCTTCCTGGAAGCATGTGCTCCCTGGGTCCTAAGCTTTGTGGGGTGCTTCTCCTTCTGCCCAAGGGGGATGCGCCAAGGGCACCCAAGTGCATTCTTCACTGACTCCAGGGCAGGAAGGTCCCCCCCACCCCCAGCCCCTGGAAGACAACACAGAAAAAACACCACACACACTTGGTCCAACAGGACAAATGTCACCTTTTATTTGGGTCAGTGCAGGCAGCACGCTGTGGGCACCACAGGGTCCATCTCCACTGACCAAGAGCTGTTGAAAGTTGAGATTCTCACATACAGAAAATAACGCTTTAGGTCCACTCTAAGTCTGCTAGCACTCTGCCCCAGGGAGGCTCAGGAAACTGGCACCAAGGGCCACTGAGGTCCCTCACTTGAGTAGCTGGCATCCAGCACTGGTGTGTGTGCGGGCTCTGGCCGCACACAGGCACCTCTGGAACCACAGCCCCGGGCCAGGCAGGCAGCACAGACACAGGGTCAGGGACCCGCTGGGAGGTGAGGCTCTGTCACCAGAACTGGCTCTGAGCCACCAGGTGAGAACTCACGTCTGCACTAACACAGCACAGAGTGTGGGGTTTAGGAATAAAGGGACAACGAAAGGTTTTTCACAAGAGTGGGTCAAATACATAACAAGTGGTAAATGACAGAGCAATTTTAAATAAACTGACCAGAAAACAAAGCAGAGATGAGCACACAGGTGCGCTCCAGCTCTACTGCTCAACACTGGAACGAGGAGGGCGCCAGTGGTGACGTGGTGTCTGCCCTGGGACAAAGCGGCACTGCCCCCATCTGGCGCCTCACAGATGTTGGTTTTCTGTGATGCATCCTCCGAGCATGGATGCATGGCGTCACTAAACACAAAAGGCTGAGAAAAGGAAATGAGGGACACCTAGGGAATCACACAGCCAGCCCAGGCTGAGGCCAGGCGGACCAACAAGAGGCACGGCCCGGGGCAGGTCCCCTTCCATGACCTGGCGCTGTGGGCCATCACGAAAGAACTGGAGCAGCAGAGGGAAGCCCCAATGTGCACAGCACCAGCCCACAGGACCTTGGGTTTCCAGCCTCCTGCACAGGAGGAAGACAGGCTCTGGCCAGCTGGGCGTGAGAATTCAGAGAAAAGGCTCTGCACGACACAGGACCTGCAGCCCCACAGCACCTGAGGAGCTGGAAGGAGGCAGATTAGAATGAGGCTGAGGCACACAGGCTGGCTCTAGAGGCCACCCTGCCTCCGCAATTGCCACAGTGGCTCTATGTAAAGGTTGATTCTTTGTGGCCAGAGGAACAGCAGTCTTCTACCATGGCAGAGAAATGAATAAGCACTTTCTAGAAGGAATGTTTCATTCTAAATGACCCCAAACACACTTTTAGGATGAGTCCAAACTTCCTCTCCTGGACTCCTGTCCCTGGCTGTGGCCGGCCAGCCAATGTGGCCCTACCCCTGTACAGGGTTCGAAGTGCCAGCCCCACCCACCCTCTAACTTCAGCCTTCGGGGAGTCGAGAGCTCCACTAAGGATGCACACAGAGTACTAGACAGGCATTGAATTTTATATTTTTAAGTGACCAAATCTAATAAAATGAAAAACAGGTTTACTAAACAGGTCCAAGAGACAATACAGGAGATAAGCTATAAAACCAAAGCATGAGCCGCCCTCGGCGATGCCAGCCCCCGGTAGACACCTCACTGGATGAGAAGAGAAGCTGAGAATCTTGTTTCCTCCAAATCACACGTTTTGGTTTTTGCTTTCCTTTTAAGGTTTTTAAAAAGTGAAGCCCAGGAGCCTGGTGGGCCTGCCCTGGCTCGGCAGCACGTCCTGCTGGCCCAAGTCAAACTCTGGCACCTGCGTCCCCTGCAGCAACTGGGCCATGGCTCACTCCTGTGCGATGCTCCTCAGCACGTACTTGACCGTGTAGGCAAAGGCTGCAAACCCAACTATGACAAACAAGTTCGCCAGGGCGCCACCCAGGAGTCCATGGTGCCGGTTGGCCTGCTGGAGCCCTGCGAGGTTCGGGCCAGCACCAGGCGCATGCCCATTGAGAAGCTGGATCCCGTTCTGCCCGTGGTGGGTTTCCCCATCGGGAACCACGTCTGGCAGGGGGAGAGTCTGCGGCCTGCTACTGAGTTCGTCTTGTGCTTTCTGTTTTTGTTTAATTTCCTAAGAGAAAAACACAAGGAACTAAGGTCAGTCTGAACAAATCAGTCCCTTTAGGAGCTGCACTCCAGGTCTTGGGGCCCAGAGTTGTCATCAAAACCAAAGCTCTCCATTCCGCATGCCAAGGCCTGACATCTGGAAGTGGGCAAGGCTCCTGGCACCAATCCACGGGAAGGGGAACCAAGCATGCTGGCAAAATCACCGCCCTGCGCACCTCAGCCAGGGCGGAGTGGCGCAGCACCACAGAGATGCCCACTCCTGGCAGGCACTTGGCCCACAGGGCAGAGCACAGCCAGCATGGATGCCCTCCACGCCCTGCAGACCCCAGAGGGCCTGAGGTTCCTGGGGAGGTGGCAGAAGCACACTGGGTCGCACACGCGTCTTCTCTTTCAAAGGATGGGGTCTGAAAATGTTCTTAACATAAAGGAAGATGGAACTGAGTTCCAACTTTCACTTTCTTACCTCCACAACTTCAGGAAATAATTCACAAAAAACTTTATCTTTTAAATTAAACGCTAAACTCTGTGCTGCCAGTTGTCTTTTCTAGAAAGAGAGAAAGGAAATATCAGCCAGAAAGCTAATTTTAATTCCTTAAAAATTCTAAAAATAGACTACCTTCATGCTGTAGAAAGCAAATAATGAGCTTGTTCTTCACAACAAACCAATCTCATGGAGCTTATTTATCTTTTTGTTATCAGTAACATTAAACTTGATTCCTTTTTTTAAAACAGCAAAAAACAAGCTAACAAAAATGGACAACATGCACCCCCCCCCCCACAAAGTTCCTGAGGAAGACCCCCGGGCTGTGAGCCAGGTTTCACATGGATTAAATGCAAGGTCAAAGGTAGGTGTGGTGATGGCACATGCAAGTAATCCCAGCCACTTGGGGAGCTGAGTTCGAAGCCACTCTGGGACAACTTAGCAAGACTCTGTCTCAAAAAAAAAAAAAAAAGTGCAGGGGCCGGGGATTTAGCTCAGTGGTTCTGGCGCCTGCCTCGAAAGCACAAGGACCCGAGTTCAATCCCCGGTACCAAAAAAAAAAAAGTACATGTAGGAGGGATTCTGGGGATTTAGCTCAGTCGCAGAATACTCCCCTACCATGCACAAGGCCCTGGCTTCCATCCCCAGTACTAGGGAAACAAAACAGAAATAACAAAACAAAACGAAACCAAACAAACATGGTCTAGAAGCAGGGGCAGACAGTGTAGCAGGTGGCAGGCAGCCCAGAGCAGAGTAGGCGCCACAAGGGGCAGGAACACGGACCACCAGACGCCCACCCAATCTCTGCCTGACAAGGAAAAGAGGCAGCTGAGCGTCTGCGGAACACAGCTAGCCTAAGATGAGAAGCCAAAGGCCAGGGTGCCACGTGAAGCCAGGTGAAATGTTGCTACCCCTTACCGTAAAGTCTGATGTCTCTATACTGCCCAGGGTGGGGCCCTTTTCCACCATGAAGCTCAGCAGTCCGGTCAGGATTGTGGAGACGGACCAGGCTGGGTTCCACGTGTCAGGGTGGAAGTCCGTGATGGAGAGACACAGCCTGCAGGAGAGGAGCTAGATGAGCAGGGGTGCGCACTCCAGGGGCGAGACTGGCAGAGCACCAAGCACCAGGAAGCTTACCTTGTGTTGCACTTGAACCTTCCATTAGGTGTTATCATGTAAATACTAGGAGGCTTAAAAGGAAATTCTCTGGGGAAAATCAGCTTTCCGTGATAATAGCCACCTACACCAAAACAGAAAGGAAAGTTGCTGATCACCTACTGTAGCACAGGACGCCTCGGTCTCCAACTGGCTTCCACCACCTCACTGCCCACTCTGCCCACCACTGACCCCAGTGCCCCCATCTCCTGATGTCCCCAACACAACCTCCCTCTCCTGCATCATCACATTCCCCTCCAGTGCAGAGGAGTAAAAACAAAGCCTCCAGGGGTTCCCGATACCCAACACTGCTAGGCCTCAGGAGCTGCGTGCAGCTGAGCCCAGCCCTCCCCTCCCCAGGTACTGACCCAGGGACTCCCTGGCTCCACAGTGCCCAATTCTCCCGTTTAACTGCATGCAGAAGCCAGCGCATCCCACACCCGAAACAAAGCCACACCAGAACCCACACTCCTCCGACTTCTGCCAACTGCTGCTTCGCCTCCTGTAACGTCCCTGCAGCCATGTTCACAGTGGCTTTCTCCAAGGTCTCGGCCTCCACAACCCCAAGTCTACCTACTCAGGCTTGGGCCCCCACCACAGCTGATGGTCCGGGCCTGAACCTGACACCATCCCCATGTCCTCAGCTGGGGTCTGATCATACCTCAGCAGCATGGTCTTACTGGCGAGTCCTTCCTCACAGACCCTGCACCATCTGTGGCTGCCCTCAAGTGTCCCATGATGGCTCCTGAACCAACTCCTCAACCTCGGGCCTTGGGACCCACAAACTCTCGATCAATACACTGACCATTCACACCACACTCCCCTAGACACAAACACTCAGGATGGAATTCCTAGTATTTCCCAAGCCGCTATTCTCAGTCCTTCAGACTAAAACCTAGGAGGCCCCACCCAGCTCCTATCACACCACTCATAATCCTATTGGCCAGACGAGCTTTGAGGCCGGCCAGTGACCCTCAGAGGGATGACAGGACAGCCCTGCCCTGCTCCAGGCCCTACACCCTGGCTGCTCAGGCTGCACTCAGGAGTCAGCTAGAAAGGCAGGGCTGAGCAGAACGCACACTGGACAGGATGTCCTGGCCCCATGTGTGGGCACAGCTGAGCACATGTGATGTGTGTGTATGCTGGTGCGTCCCCCCACCCAGGCTCACTCCCCCAAGCATCCTGGGCATGATCCTGCCTAAGGACCCTGGAATCCCTAGTCCCAGAATCACCATGCTGTGTCAGGTACAATACCCCATCTCTGAGGGCCTACTTAGGGCTGGAGTTAGGGACAAGTTCCCGAGCACAAGACAGACACATGGCTGCCCCTGCACTCTGCTGCAGGGACAGCACTCAAAGATGACAGGAATAGTTGTGTAGTCAACAGTGTGGCTCAATGGGAAGGAGACATCACACCCAGGCCACACGCAGGCACAAGAGCCTCAAGAGAAGCCAAGTCAGAAGATGAGCAAGCACTACAAATAAGCACTTTTCCAAGGAGCAAGCACAAACAGCCAACGTGCATTTAAAACTATACTCAGCTCAGTGCCAATCAGGAACTAGTGTAACTTCAACAGCCACACGCAGGCCATTTCTGGCTTAGTGGAGAGTAGTGGACAGGAGCACCCTCCTGTTTGGTGTCCCTGCCAGGGAGACCCTCCCTCACTCCACACTCTTTGCGGACACCGTGACCACACAACAAGATGTTCACAGCACCAGCTGTCGTCTGTACAAGTGAAAAATGGAAACACCCACTTGCTTTTTAGAGAGAAGGGTCAGATACTCTTAAGTGTAATAAATCAGACACACACGTTTAAATACCGCAGCATTTCTCTGAAACGTGTGGAAAACTGAAAGTGGAAATAAGGACTACAATGTATAACAGACATTGGGAAATGGGAAAAAAACATTCATATGGGAAGGGGAACAAGGAGGGGGGAGGGAGAAAGAAAAGGACATGAAAAAAAAGTAAAAATAGAAGGAAAAAATGGAAACAGCTTTTGTATATGGGGAGGGGAGGGGGTTTTGAAGGAAGGGAAATGGGGAAAAAAGAAGAGGTAGGATATGTCATGTACGGGTGCAAATTCCCTATGATGAGTGTTATCACTGCATATATCTGCAACGTCCCAATAAATGTTTTGCTTAAAAAAATAATAAAATAAAATGTCATTCAAAGGGGAAGGTCAGATGAATGGACCAGGAGGAACAGGAATACATGACACACAACTGAGTGCAAACCAAACAGGAAAAACAGCAGGCTGTCGGCAACACACACACTGAGCTACTTACAGTTAAATACCCAGAAGTACACCACACTGTTAGTAAGACACGTTTTAAATTTTTATTTCTTTTGAAAATGAAATAATTAAAGTCTCACTATGTAACCCAGGCTGCCCTTGAACTCTGGATGGTCCTACCTCAGCCTCCCGAGTGCTGGGATTACAGCCATGCACCCCCACACTTGGCTGACATGTATTTTAGACTACAGGGACCAAATTCTGAGGTGTCTGTCATTCAGCATTCAAAGGAGTCCCAGGAGGCCTCAACCCAAGAGTGAAGAGAAGCAAGAGGGACACCTGCAACAGGCCAAAGGAAGCCAGACGCTCTCTCAGAATTCAAAGTGGGGCCCCTGCCAGGGACACAACTCAGGTCTGCCGAAGCTCCTTTACTGTCCAGGACTGCCTGGAGCACAAGAAAACAGATGGTGACTCTGCCACAGTACAGCCTTGGCACAGCCTGGGGAAGAAAACCAGAGATGGCATGGTGGTGCATGCCTGTAATCCCAGCACTAGGGAGACTGAGGCGGGGGGGACAGCCTTGAGTTATCCCCCTGCTTTACTGTGTAGTCTGGGCTACACAGTAAGTTCAAGGCCAGCCTGAACTACACAGCAATGCCTTGTTTCAAAAACACCCCAATCGGGCCGGGGATTTAGCTCAGTGGTTTTGCCGCCTGCTGCGCAAGCGCAAGGACCCGAGTTCGATCCCAGGTCCAAAAAAAAAAAAAAAGCACCTCAAAACAAAAAATAATAAAAAAGGAACTCAGAGAGAGCAACCTGCCCAGGACCCTGACAGCTTCACAGTTGCCCAGGGGCTCCAGACCTTCCCTGATAGCTTTCATACCTTGCTCACACGTCGGCTGGTTTCTGCGCTCTCCATCCTGCTCCACCTGTATCTCCTGTTATGGTTTAGATCTAAAACGTCCCCCCAACCCTCATGCATTCAGAGGTGGGGCTCACGGAAGGTAATTATGGGGGCACTGAGTGTGCTGCCAGGAGGCGGGGCCTGGTTGCAAGGAATCACTGGGACATGACCTGGAAGGGCTTGTTCCTGCCCAGCTCCATCCTTCTCTCTTGGCTTCCTGGCTCCCATGGGTTGGGCCACACCTTTTCTCAGCCATGCCCACTCACCAAGCTGTTTGCCCTGGAGCCAGCAGATCATGGACTGAAATCCTCTGAAACCACAAGGCAATAAACCTCGCCTTAATTTTTATGTTGGGTATTTTGTCCCAGTGACAGGAAAGTGACTAATATACACCTGTACCACCACCACTAGAGCTACATGGTAAATCTGGAAACCAGCAACCCTTCCACCTAACTTTTCTTTTAATAAATTGCTTTAGCTATTCCAAGTCCTTTGCCTTTTCAGATAAATTTAGAGTGCCACTGAGTATATCTACAGCTTTGCTGGGATTTGATAGGACTGTTAAATCTTCAGCAACACTGCCCTGAAAGCCAGTGTGGGGCTGTCAGGACAGGGGTCCTGAATGCTCCAGGAGCAGGAGCATAGGGATGCGGAGCTGCAGAAAAGCCACCAGGAAGGCAGAAGGGTCAGAACATGCAATGTCAAAGCAGGGGAATTTCAGGAAGGCAGCAGCTCCCAATAGCATCAGATGCCAAGGGCCCAGAAACAGGACTGAGAACAGCCTCATGGCTGTGATAATCCAGAGGGGTCCCCAGGAGAGTGGTGCCAGCAGAGGGGGACTGCAGCTGCCAAAAGACAGCTGGGAGAGGAGGCAGAGAGGGAAGAAGACCACAGAAACTACACAGGGTGAGGACAGGGACAAAGGATGGGTGGAAACCTTAGAATAGGGGTAGCACAGGACAAGACAGAAGTACGGGAGTTGGGGCTGGCAGGACGAGGCTGCTCCCAAGGCCCCACCCTGTACATCCCCTCGGGCTGCCCTCTCTTCTCCCTGGTGAGTCCATCTCTTCCCCAGCAAAAGCTTATGCTAGTCCTATGGAGGGAAGTGGCATCTTGTCACAAAATAGTGTCATTAATTTGAAAAATATGAAAAAAAAAAGAGAATAAAATAGAAACTCAGTATAATCCCACTTGTTTGAGACAACTATTACTACTCATTTTTGGTATATATTTTTCAAGCTTGGTAAAAATACATGCAAATTTAGTTAGGATTTGCATGTTATTTGCACCAAATTCTTTGAAGCCTGCCTCACACTGCATCTCTAGGAACTCATCCACCAGGACTCCTCATGCCACAAGGGCTGTACAAACCTGCCTCATATCACCCACACCCAGCAGAGGGCTCCGAGGCAACCTCCAACGTCTGTCACTGTCACCATGTCACCCTAACACCCCAACCTGTGGATGTGCATCTGAAGACTAGCCTCCAAAAGGGCTGGGGATTTAGCTCAGCGGTGCCAGCGCCTGCCTTTCAAGCACGAGGTCCTGAGTTTGATCCCCGGCACCACCCCACCACCACCAAAAGACTAGCCTCCAGGACAGATTGGCCCAGCAAAGTAGGATTCCTGGGTTAAGATAGCATCCCTATTAAGGCCAGCAAAACACCAGCCTAACTATTCAAGAGAACACGGCTATTTTATTCTTTTTTTGTTTTTTGTTGTTGTTGTTGTGTACCAGGGATTGAACTCAGAACCTTGTGCTCTCAAGGCAGGGGCTGGCACCTCTGAGCTAAATCCCCCCCCCCCAGGCTATCTTATTCTTAATCACCCACAGCTCTCCCTTGACCATCCAAAGCAGTGGTTTGCTTCTTTCCTTCCTTTCTTTCCTTCCTTCCTTTCCAACCCTACCTTCTTTCTTTTGGGATGGGAATCAAACCCAGGGGCTAACCACTGAACCACACTCTAGCCAAAGCAATGGTTCCCAAACTCAAGTGCTTCTCCTGTTGAAATCTTTTTACTTTTCAGACAGAAGTTTCATCATGTAGCCCAGGATGGCCTCAAATTCATGATTCTCCTGCCTCAGCCTTCTGACCTCTAGAGTTACAGGTGTGAACCACCACACCCAGCTTCCTGATAGTCTTACAAAAAGCTTCACCCATGGGCAGACAAAAGCCTGCTACTCTGACCTGCTGCCTGGGGCCAATGCCCGACCCACTTGGCCAGCACTCTGCCCTGGTCTGGGCTGTGGGTCAGTGATCATGGGTGAATTACTGACCTGGTTCAAAGCCTGAGGCTGGTGCTGCGTCCCTACCACCCCCTAGAGACATGCTGGCTGTTGAGGTCAACCTTGCAAAGGACATCAAGAATCCAAGATGGGCCCAGGGATTGAGCTCAGTGGTTCCTCGGGCTGTCTTGCAAGGACAAGGACCCGAGTTCGATCCCCGGTACCAAAAAAAAAAAAGACTTTCCAAAAGGGTAAAGATGTGATCAGAGTTTCTCACAAGAAGTATTCATTCCTTTTGGGCCAGGGATTTAGCTCAGTGATTTCGTCACCTGCTGCGCAAGCGCAAGGACCCAAGTTCAATCCCCAGTACCAAAAAAAAAAAAAAAAAAAAAAAGAATCCCAGATGGTATCTAGTGACTCGAGAGGTGAGGCCACAGGTCAGCCCTGTATCCTAAGCCCTGGATGTTCATCCCCATGAGGGGCTTCATCTTGGTTCAGACTGCTCTGAGGATCACAAGACACTGAAAGTTCCCAGCACCAAGAAGGCCTTCTTGAAGATATTCCCACTGGTCTCAAAATCAGTAGAAGAAGGACAAGGGATTTAGTTCAGTGGTTTCGCCGCCTGCTGTGCAAGCGGAAGGACCTGAGTTCCATCCCTGGTACAAAAAAAAAAAAAAAACAATAGAAGAATATGGCTACATTTTACTGTTTATCTCAATATTTTTCCGAGCTCCAAATGATGCCAGAAGAACACAGATACTTAGGGTTAGGGTTGGGTTAGGGTTGACAGCCCCTGGACATGGACACACACCAGTAAAACCAAACTGAAGTAAGTTCCAAGTAAATCCAATTTAACCACTGTACCTCTGAAACAGGAAGGCTGTTGCTTACTAATAAATGTTTAATAGCCAAGTCTTCTACTCACCTTCATAAGGGGTCATCTCAGGGCCTCGGACAACATAGTGCCTAATGGAGAGAAGAAAATTACTTGAATTTGGGGACTGCAAATTCTCCAAAACCACAGTCACTCTAAGCCTGGAGTTTGCTGGATCAGCCAGGACCATATTCAGCTAGTGAAGAGCTGCAGGCCACATGCCACAGGGCAGCAGCAGCCTTGGACCCGTCCTGCAGGTGTGGGGCACTTCACAACAGCATCCCAGACATGCAGAATGTGTGTTCCACACTGCTTCTAAGTGCTTTTATTCCCACAACACAGCATGCAAGAAGCTCATCTCTAGCCATTAACATAAATTTAACTTTTTTTTTTTTTGGTACTGGGGATCGAACTCGGGTCCTTGTGCTTGCGAAGCAGGCACCAGAACCACTGAGCTAAATCCCCAGGATAAATTTAACTTTTTAAAAAATTTCAAAATATATCAAGATGTACTTTAAAATTTATATGTAAAAACATGTAACTTTTATTTTTCTATCGTGCACATAGGCTAGACAGGGCACAGCTGGTGATGTGGAGTTGGTCCTGTGTGTCACTTCCCACCATGCAGATGTTCCGGGAAGAAACAGAAATACCTTCAGAGAAGGAACAGGGGCAACCTGCGATTAACTCTCCCCAAAGCAGATGTCCTCACGCAAAACTCCACCACAGATCAGAAGCAGCAGCAAAGAGACTACATTATCCCCACGTAAATAAATGAGGTGGTAGCTTTAGGTGAACAGAATGGTGCCTGGGCTTTATGAGCTCTCAAAGAAAACAGAAGAGCACAAGCAGGTGAGACGTGGCAGCAATGCCAGCGACTGCAAACGCCCTGTGTCCCCTCTCCAGAGACCTCTTCCCAGCAGGACACAGATGGGATTGTGAAACCTATGCCAGCTGCTAAGTTGCCCACTATCAAGAACTGGTTCTAGGACCAGTGATCCATATGTCAGGGCTATCAAAACCCATGGATGGGGCCGGGGATTTAGCTCAGTGGTTTCGCCGCCTGCTGCGAAAGTGCCAAGGATCCAAGTTCGATCCCCAGTACCAAAAATAAAAACAAACCATGGATGCTCACTCAGGTCCCTTATACGAAACGGAGTAGTGTTTGCATAGAGCCCACAGACATCCTCTCACACATTTTAAATCATCTCCACACTACTGACAATACCTACAACAATGAAAATAACGTGAATAGTTATATATGTGGTTTAGGGAATAATGACACAAAAAAAGCCTGTACATGTCTAACCCAGTCACAATTTCTTTTTCATCTGAGTATTTTCAATCTGTAGTTGGTCGAACTGAAGAACTCACAGATGCGGGGACCAGCCGTACTAAAAACAGCCTTGCGATGTGTGTGCCAGAGGACCCAGAACAACCAGGTAGCTTAGAGCAGGCACACAGTACAGAAGACCATGGCCTCAGGCGCTCCTGCTCCAGACACCCAGGAAGAGGCAGGGACCAGGGCTGCTCCTGACATAGCCAGCAGCCCAGGCCACAGAGCCGGGCTCACTGGACCCACAGGGCAGAACGCCTATGGTTCCCAGCTTGTCACTGTGCCTGTCCAGCCAAGTTTGGTTTTTCTCTGCCCAGGGTGGTGTGGAGTTCCCACACTGCTGCCCTGGCTCAGCTCCACCACCCTGACCAGCGAGGGGCCAGAAACAGTGTGGTTTAGTGCTCTCTTTCCAAAGACGAGACTTGTGCTGGGTGCCAGAGAGCTGCCTACATAAGCAGCCCCTTCTGATCTATCAGGTTCTCTTCCAATAAAGGCTGAGTGCCAGGTCTCTGGGGCAGCTCACACCCTGTACCCCGACTTGTTGCTGGGGACTTAAGCGCACCCCCACGTGACTGCCCAGAGCAAGGGACCTGGATGCCTGGGTCAGTCTCCTGGGGCGCTGCCGCCACAGGCCTCTTCCCCTGATTTCACCTTTTCCCTGTAATGAATGTCACCAGTGAGTCCTCCTAGCACATGGTGACCAGGAGGCGGTCTTGGATGCAGACAAGGAGGGGTCTCCCATATAGTATAGATGTTCCCAGTGATCAAGGAAGCAGTCAGCCACCCATGGAACCTGTCCTCATATCTGCCAACTCTGTCCTGAGGGCCACATCTGATTTTCATCCTTGAGAACAGGGAGACCCCTGACGCCATCCCTGGAATCCTCCACCTGCCTGGGCTGAGCTTCCTCTCTAAGCCTCTGTTCTGGGAAGATGAGCCCCATCCAACCTGGAAAATACTTAGTAACTCAGTTAAATCTCTTTTCTCTAGATTTGAAAAAAATAAATTTTTTTTTTTGTACTGGGGATCGAACTCAGGACCTTGCACTTGCCAGGCAGGTGCGGACCCACTGAGCTATATCCCTGGCCCATTTCTTTGGTTTTTTGAGACAGGGTCTCAGTGTATAGCTCAGGCTGGCCTCGAACTTGTGGTGATCCTCCTCCCTCAGCCTCCCCACTGCTCCCTAGCCACACACGGCTAAAAAATGCCTTTAGGGGCCAGGGATTTAGCTCAGTAGTTCTGCCGCCTGCCTTGCAAGTACACGGTCCTGAGTTCGATCCCTGGTACCAATAAATAAATAAATTAATAAATTAATAAATAAATCAGTTGATTTTAAAAAATGTCTTTAAAGATCAAAATAAAACATTTATCAAAGAACACACTCTTGTACATCTCAGCCTTGTATTTCATTACTCAAAAATCATCTGCACAGCTGGTAATTCGCATTTCCAAAGATACTTTTTTAACTCCATACTTTATTTTCCTTAAAGCGGTTATTTTTACGTTAAGTATCAGATCAATAAGAATAAATAACTATACCAAAAGAAAAAATACAAATATATCAACTAAAAACAAAAAAAGAAAATAAAATGTAAACAAAAAAATGAGAGGAAAAAAACACATTTAAAAATTGTTTTCAAGGAAGTTGGGGAGGGAACTGGCTTTTTTTTTTTTGGTTCTTGTGAGACAGGATCTAGCTGTGCAGTTCAGGCTGGCCTTGAACTATGATGTAGCCCAGGCTGGCCTTGAACTCACAGCAATCCTCCTGTCTCAGCCTCCCAAGTGCTGGGATTACAGGTGTGCACCACCACGGTATGGCTATTCCTAAGATCGTACCTTATCCACATGAAATGCTCTGAACCTAGTGAGCCACACTTCTCTCAAGTTCTATCTGCCAATGGAAAGGTCCTACAATGTTGGGTTCTAAACACCTAACACAAAAGACTAGAATTCTCGGGCTATCTGGTATTTTCCCTTTCTTGGTAATTTCATCTCAAATTGGGGTCTGTAGGTTCTAGGGCCGTATTTATGGACCAAAATTTAGGACACATACCCTGAAGTTCCAAGTACATCCCCAGGGACAATGGCTCATGCTAAAAAATCTAGGATAGCTGGCTGTTGAAAAGATAGCTCTCTCAATGAATCCACTATGCAACAGATTAAAAGAATTCAGTCCCAGAGATTTTTTTACACAGAAATATTAACAGCAGAACTTAATCTGATCACACTTTAAAAACACAGTTCATTTTCAAATCAACTGGGCAGGTGGAAGAGACTTCATGACTCCCATTTCCGGGACTGATGAGTCTTTTCATGCCTGTGGGACCTGTCTCAGCTCCTACTTCTACTTCTACAACTCCCCCCCTTCAGAATACCCTCTTCGCCACCTGGAATGTGTGTCTGAGCTTTGCCCTCTGTCTGATCCCTGCTCTTGTCTTCTCTCACTTCCTCCCCTTGAGGACTCGTGATCATGTTTGAGTTTCTCCATCCTGGGGTCCCTTTCTGGGTCCTCAGCTCCACCACACCGGGAAGTCCTGACCTCAGGGGAGCCTAGGTAGTACTTCCTCCCTGCTCTGGACTCGGATTTCTGAGCCCTCTCTGAATTCTTGTTGCTGTGCTTCTTAGGGCCAAGGTCATCCTTTTCTTTTACCAATTTGCTTCTGGGTGGTAAGGAAGAAGATGGTTGCTCTGCCTGTACCTCCTAGTCAGTCTGCTCTTTTTTTGTTTTTTTCCTTTTTTTCCTGTCTTTGTGCTTTTTATGTGGGATGCTCATCTTCAGAAACCTCAGACAAACCCAGGAGGGGGATGACAGCCCCACAGCCTTTCTCCTGGAGCTATGTGATCACATCATCCATTTCATCTGAGTCCTTAGGAGCCCAATAGTTAGGCACATGGTCCATGTGGCTAGTTCTTCCTTTGATCTTAATTCCATCAAAAGTGTCACAGGGACCAGGGATTTAGCTCAGTGGTTCCAGATGTCTCGCAACTGCAAGGTTCCAAATTTGATCCCCAGTACCAAAAACAAAAAAGAAAAAAAAAAGTGTCAAAGGCCAGAATTATACTCCTCTAGTCTTCATAGCAGAGGAAACAGGACCCTTTGGATTTCTCAGTCTTGTGTCACATAGATTAATGGTAACAATCTCCCTGTGTTGTGAGAACACACAATGTTCCCTCCAGTCAGCTCATAAGAAAGTCCTCCCAGAATGATCCAGACACTGTCCTTGTACTCAGAATGCCAGGACACCTTATCCACCACTCCAAGCTAGACCTCTTGCTCATTCAGCTCACTGATCAGCTTCACCTTAAAGGATTCATCTCCTTGGGTTCTTGCTTGGCACCAGGATGTCAGCTTCCTCTTTAGGCTGCGCAGTGCAGGCCTCTTTTATTTTTATCTTTTTTGAGACAGGGTCTCACCATGTAATCCAGGCTGGCCTAAACGCACTACTGGCTCAGGCTGGCCTTGAACTAATGGTGATTCTCCTGCCTCAATCTCCCAAGTGATGGGATTACAGGTGTGCACCACCACACCTGCCTTAACTCCACACTTTGAGCAAAAAGCTACCATGAAATAAATGTTTTCCATAGGCCCTCTTGCTATCAACCTGAGAGGTTGGGTGTATGGCCTGGGCCATGCCAGGAGCTGCAGCATCAGAAGCCTGTCACACATGTTCCCAGACAAGACAGGCTACCCAGTGTCCAGAAGCAAGTATGGAGGAGCTTAGATGTGCAGAGTCTCATCTCAGTACTGAACTGCAAAATGTACAGCCTACAAAATGTATATGATCAATAGGCATGAGCCCTGTACACACAGAAAGTACTCTAAGGATCCCCAGGAAGGAGTCTCTTTCTAGTCCTAGCCCAAGTCAAGCAGGACTCCATGGTGTTCCTGGTGTGCCACCTGGGAGGATCAAAGAGCTCTTAGTGCCCACCCACAGCTGAGGAGCTGCATGACTGCCTCTCCAGCATCATAACCAGGCAGGGTCAGCATAGCAAGAACGGGTGTAGCGGCCCAGGGATTTAGCTCAGTGGTTCTGCCACCTGCTTCACAAGTGCAAGGTCCTGAATTCGATCCCTGGTACAAAAAAAAAAAAAAGAACAGGTGTAGGAGCAGGCAGGGTACAGACCCTTACCACTCAAGGATGTTTGAAGGGAGGGGTTCAGCACAGATGTAAGGCACCGGGTCTTTCTTAATCCGAAGGTAGTCCTGCTTCAGCCTCTGGGTTGCTGTTGTCGGAGCTCTCTTGTTGCTGTTGCTGCTCATCTATGGAAAACAAGCATTTCTGCTTACAAAGAACAGAACAAAGGATGCACACACATCTCTTTTCTTACCCACAGCCAGAGCTGGCAGCCAGGCACCTCTGCCTCCCTCAATGCTGCCTATGATCCATCTGGGCCCTGGACTCCTCTCTTTTTCCATCTACCCCCCACCCTCATTCATGCCACATGTTATTCAGCACTTTACACAAACAAAAAGATAAAGAGAAGCATGAAGCCCCACTCCTGTCCTCAGGGGACTTACATGAATCAACACAACTAATGCAATGGGTTGTGGGTGTGCTGAAGCCAGCCTGGCCCAGCCCCAAACAGTAACCATACACATCGCCTGTGGACTTAATGCTGGGATGTTTACACCAAGGAAACTGGCAAGCATCACAGACAAGTCCTATCCCCACTACCCCTGTCTAGGAAGCCTGTTCAACATTTACCACAGGTTACCAGGGACATTAGCAGGGGATAAGAGAAGCCCTAAGGCTGAAGAGATCGGGAACTTCAAGATACCTCAAGGCACTCACTGTGTAGGGGGAAAAGGCAAACCTAGGGGATAGCCCTAGTTACTACCTCAGAAGGCCAGGCACAGTTAAAGGTGAGGGATAAGACTGGCCACAGAGACAAGACCAAGCTGCCAAGAAGTACCCAGAAGGACTTGAGGACTCAGCCTCCAGGCAAATCAGATCTTGTTAGAAAAGTCACCCTGGCTGGGCGAGGTGGCACACACCTATAATTTCAGCACTCAAGAAGCTGAGGCAGGAGGATTGCTACCAGGCCACTCTGGACATAGTGAGGTCAAGGCTAGCCTGAATTACAGAGCAAGACCCTGTCTCAAAAAAACAAAACAAAAAGGAAAAAGAAAATGAAAAAGTCAACCTAGGACTTGCACAGCACGTACAGGACAGCACCAAGGGCTCTGTGTGAGAGATGAAGCCATATTGTCTGTCGTTCAAAAGAAGAGTCTGAAAAGAAAAGAGGGGGAAAAAAAAGAATCTGGATGGTGGACCCTGGGACACTTGGCCCTGCTCCAGAGGCTGAGGAGTAACAAATGGGGTCACAGGGATCCCTCCTGACACAGATATTGGAACAGCTCCTACTCATTTTCTTTTCCATACCAGAATTTCTCATAATTTAAGAAAGACAAAAAAGTTCTGCAGCTAAAAATAGAGTGTGAAAAACACCGGTCTAAAATATGATAGAGAAAGGGGACATAGAAGAATACACAGGATGGAGAGGAAAGGAAAAACAGATGAGCCTGGCGGGAACACAGAAAGCAGGCCCTGGGCAGTCAGGGAGAGACAGCCATATCCTGTGACACCCTCAGCTTAGACCTGCTCGCTGAGGTCTCTTCCTTCTTCTGCCACAACATTCTGCCACTCTGTCCCCACAGCATCTCATACAATACTCTGTGGTCAAATGCTTTAGGCAGGAAGATCACAAATTTGAGGCCAGTCTGGGAAACTTAGCAATATCTTGTCTCAAAATTAAAAAGTAGGACATGGTGGCACACGCAATCCCAGCACTCAGGAGGCTGAGGCAGGAGGACAGCTGTGAGTTTCAGGCCAGCCTGGGATACCTGGTGAGTTCAAGGCAGCCTGGACTACATAGCAAGACCCTGACCCTGTCTCAAAAACACAAAAAACAGTAACATAAAGAGCTGGGGATATAGTTTAGCACTCCCTGGATCCAATCAATCCCAATAACTTCACAGGTATCCACATACACACTAATAACGATGGTCCTAGACATCAGTAACAGCCAGTGATCTCCATCCTGACCTACGATCAGCACAGACCTGAAGGCCATCCCATCCCAGCCTTGGGGCCTTTACGCATGGTTCCCTACAGAGAGCCACGCACTCCTTCACAGGTACAGGTGTGTGTGTGTGTGTGTGTGTGTGTGTGTGTGTGTGTGTGTGTGTGTAGAAGCATCATCGAGTCTGGGAGGTCTCCAGACTCTCAGCCTCTTTAGCCTGTTTTATTTCTCCACATAGCACCATCAGCAGAGACTGCTGTCTTTCTCCCCATCAGTGCTGTTGCCTAGTGAACACCAGGGCTTGGTGTGTGCTCACTCTGTACCCCAGGGCCTGTGAGGGGGCTCAACAGGGCCACCTGCCATGGTCCTCCCACATTCATGGCCTCAGCACCACACCTACTCCTGCTTCTCATTGGGAGCCCTGACCCTTGAGATCCTTATTTACTTCCTTCCCATTCCCATTCCACTACCCTAATGCTGGACCTCATTGACTTTCCCTGTCAACCACAATAGCTTCTAGGCTCTTCCCATTTCAACCTACCTTGGACATTTAATGCAATCTGATCATCCAACTTGCCCCAAATGCCCATCAGGATCGTGCTATAGCCAAGGAGATAACATCAATGGCTTCCCTATCTGCCAGCCCCTCAAAGCCACCCTAGCCAGCCCTCCTAGTTTCCAAGGCCCCTTACACAGCCCACCCCCCTTAACCCTTCTCATAGCTACTGTACTTCCCAGCCCAGTCTGACTGCACTTACAGGCCCTTCCCTACCTAGCTTGGTCCGAATCCCTCAGAAAGCTCCCAAGTTCTCTAGTTAAATGTTCTCTTTGTCCCTCACCACCCATGTAGCTCCCCAACAACACACCACACAGGAGCTTTTCAGGACTCAAACAAGACAAAGGCAGACTCTTCTGCCTGAACCATTCCAAAAGTGCCTGCACTGAACCAGAGTTACAGACCTGCCACCTGGAAAGGGAATGTTTCCCCACAGCACTGACCCCAAGCTCTTGGCATGATAAGCCATACAGGTCAGGGAGCCCAATTCATGCCAACACCTACTATGAAACACAGAATATCTGAAGATCCCACAGGCAGAACCATCACACAAAACCATTTTTTTTTTTGGTACTGGGGATCAAACTCAGGACCTTGCACTTGCAAGGCAGGGGGCGGCACCACTGAGCTAAACTCCCTGCCCAAAACCAGTACTTTCTCAGCCAGTGGGGTGGTCCACATCTGTGATCCCAGCACACAGGATGCTGAGGCAGGAGGATCACCATGAGTTCAAGGCCCGCCTCAGATACCTAGTGAGTTCAAAGACAGTCTAGATTATATAGCAAGGCTCTGTCTCAAAAAACAAAAACAGGACCGGGGATTTAGCTCAGTGGTGCCACTGACTCCCTCAAAAGCGCAAGGACCCAAGTTCAATCCCAGGTACCAAAAACAAAAACAAACAAACAACAACAACAACAACAAAAACTAGTTCTTTCTCTTAAACGGTCACTACTAGGATTAGCACCTGATCATGTGCAAAATAATTCACTGTGTAATTCAAATGCAATTGTGTTTGGACTCAGCTAGGTGGAAGTTAGTGCACAACCACACAAAACAAGTAAAATAAGTTCTGTCTAGTCAATCACAAGGCAAACTTCTCTATCACATTAACTTTTTTTTTCTTTGCAGTGATGGGGTGGAACCCAGGACCTCACACATGCTAAGCAAGCACTCTACCACTGAGCTAAACCTCCAGAACCATACTTGTTCTTTGATACACAATCTTTAAAGTCGTATCTGTAATTCAGTTTCCTCAACTACTCCTCCTCTGCCTCACTGAGAACACTGCTCTCATGTTTGTCCCAGGAGACAGCTTCTCTCAATTTTCCTAACTCAAATAGGAGAAAAACTTCAGGTTCATCAAAATGTCCAACACTAAGAAGCATATGTCTCTCAGGTTCATTCCCAACCAAATCCTTACAGACAAGAGAGAGTAGGTATGTTCTAAGGGAAGAGGACAGGACACACACACACACGATAAAAATTAACACATGGAAACTGAGAGCACTCTGAGTCACCGTGAAGGTCTCCTCCTGTCCCACGTCACCGTGCCTAGGTGGTGGCTGATCATTCATTTTCCCCATTCCTTTCTCCTTTGGACATCTCTCTCTCACCAGTGCATATAACTCAGGTGATGTAGTGGCATGAGACCCTGGCCTGACTGATCAGATGGGCATGTGACACACCCAGGCCCAGGACTTCCTCAGAAGTCTCTCCTCTAGGATTGCTCCAGGGCTAACAAGGGGCAGCCCCACTACCATGCTTACACACACACACCTTCCTGCGAATGAAGCTGGCTCAGAGGTCACCTGTGTCAAGCTGTGCAGACTACTGACTGCAAGTGCTAGGTTCAACCATGCCTGAAGTTTCTGCAAGGGGCTTTTAACTAAATGAAACGATTAGACTCCTTTCTCTTGACGTCCAATTACACCAAGTTTCACTCACCTGGAGTGAAGAGAGCCCAGTACCACTAGCTATACATAAACACGCTTTCTTCACGCACTTAACAGCTGACTCCCTAACGGACTGGGGGGCTTCCTCTTTAGCTGTCTCTTTTCTGGGTCTGACAAAATGCTGAGAACCGGATTTGAGTTAATCACCTAAGTGTTATTCAATGAAAAGATGGCCAGAAGGTCATTAACTGGGATGGTGCTGAGAATACGCAGATGTGATCGTGCGCCCGGTACCCTGGGGCACAGTCCGGTGCACGCTCGTTTCCGTTGGGAGTAGTGAAGCCAGCTTGGGGTTCTAACTGTTCAGGAGTGAAGAAGCAGCAGGCTCAACGGCGGCGCCCATAATACGGACTCTCAGATACGTTCTCACAAACCAAGATCAGTGCAGGATCCTCCTGAAAGCGCCCCCGAATGTCGCGACGAACGGGGCCTCTTCTGGAGGGACCCTGCCGCGCAGCCGAGCGCGTCCGTGCACCGGGCCCCGAGCCTGGGCCTCTGCGGTAACTGTCCTGGGAACGCCCGCGGGAGCAGGGCAACGCGAACTGAGTGGCGTGTGGTGGCTCCCGCGTCCCCCGCGGTGGCCCGGCGGGGCGGACTAGCGAACCGAGGCCCCGGCGCAAACCGCGCGTGCTCACCTCTCCCTGTCTCCGGGGGTGGGCCGCCGCCGCGCTCAGGCTCGCTGCGGTCGAGGCCGGAGCAGGCTGCGGAAGAGTGGCCCGAGCCAGAGAGCCACACTACACCAGCCCGCCGCCGCCCGCCTCAACTCCCAAGATGGCCGTCGAGGGGCGGCTCCTGGGGCGCTTCCGCTTCCGGTACGCGATGCACGATGGTTGGCCGCTCTAGGCACCTTGGAGGACGGTGCCACCGCTAGCCGCAGCTAGGTTGCACAGTGCGGCCCCTTGAGGAGACTGTCGATGCTTGCGAGCTGGGTAGCGTCACTGTGGTTCGCACCGGCCCCTCTGGGGCCTTGCTGACCACACCGCTTCCTGGTCGTCGGCCCTCCTGAAAGTCCCAGGGAGCCAGGCCCAGACCTAGAGTGACCCCGACTTCACGGCTCCAGACTCTTGTCCCCTCTCTTTTTTTTTTGGAGACAGAGTTTCACTCTTGTAGGTCAGGCTGGCCTTGAACTCACTGTGTTGCCTAGGCTGCTCTCGAACTCGCGGTGATCCTCCTGCCTCAGCCTCCCGAGTGCTGGGATTACAGGCATGCTCCACCATGCCCCAATCTTGTCTCCTCTTCAACCGAAGGCACAGGCCAGGGTCTATCCCGAAGACCGCTGCCCCACGGCTCCGGGACATCACAGGCCTGGCCAGTGCAGCAACTCCCTGCCCACGTCCCAGCCATCCTCGTAAAAATAGTTGCAGTGTTTCCTGGGCGAGCTTTCCTCCAGCATGAATGGGGTCCTTGTGCCTTGCTTGCATCTGGCCTTCCTTTCCCACGGCCACTCCCTAGCCCTGGGGAGGGGAGGACGACGGGGACACAGTCGGCCTGAGCCCTGCAGTCCCAGGAGTGCTCAAGGATGTGCTGACATTGGGGACACTGCTGTCACACGCACAGCGCACTTTCTGGGCCCAATGTGGGGGACAGGAAGCGGTGGGACAGCGCCATCTGAACAAGGAGAGGCCTGGGTGGCATCTGGAGGAGGCATCTGAGGACTGGGCTGAGTAGGGGTTAAATGTGCCCTCAGGCTGCCCTGTGTGGCAGGGCCAGCCATCAGCCTCTTGTAGGGTGGGAACCCCACATCCACACCCTTCACCCTGATCCTGACTGCCCCGCAGGATCAACTTTAGCCCCCAGGGTAGCTGACTCCTGACAGGAGACAAACACCCACTGTCCAGCAATGACAGCTAGCAGAGGCCACCACGATCATCCAAGTCTGGCCAGCCTGGGGCATTTTGTATAATGTGGGTGGCTGTGGCAGGGCTGATCCCTGGGCCCCGTGCGAGAACCTAGAGTGTCCCTACAGCCATCAGTTCAACATGGGGAATTATTCATATGAATACATTCCATTTGTGTTCCCAACTCCCTTCCAGTGCCTCTCTTTCTACAGGCCAGAGGGTACACTGAGCATTAGTCAGAGGGTGGAAAGTTGGATAAGGAAGAAAGCTACAAGCACAGCTCCCCTGGACACACCAGGCAATCTATGGAGACAGCAGCCAGCCCAGACCTTGGACTGCAGCTACTGACAATGAGAGGCTCTCTCTCCTAGCTGACTTCTGCCACAGGAGATGGAGGCACCAACTCGGTGCCATGGGCACAGAGGTGGGGAGGCTGCAAGGGAAGCTCAGCTCAGAGTCCCCAGCATCATTCCCAAGCCTCCTGCTCACTGAGCACACCTCCAGACCAGTGGGGAGACAGATGTGGTCAATGGGTCCTCCCAAGACCACCGTAGCCCAACCCCCACCCACATATCTGTGACCTTCTATCTCTGAGACTTAGAAGCCCAGACAGGAAGTGGGCAGCTAGGCTGGGAGCTGGTGTCCTCCGATCCCAAAGTCACCCTTCTGCAGCAGGAAGGACTTCCTGCCAGCCAACACTACGGGTGGCTGGGCTCCAGGAAGAGGACAGCAGGCCATGCCTCGTCATCTTGTTCCAAGGCCATCCTCGGTGTGGCAATCACTGTCAAGAGATCAAGAAGGGTCAGAGTCAAGAAAGTGCGACCCGGTGGAAGCAGATCTTCCCAGGAGAAATTACCTGGCCAGAGCCTGAGGAGGGTCCCAGAGAGCAGCCTGCAGGTGACCCAGTAGGACACTTGCACACACACACCCTTCTCCTAGCAGGAAGCATCTGGCCAGACCCTGAGCTCTAACTGTTGCCCCTTTGCAACCCCAGCAGCTAGGGGTGCCTTGGTGTTGTGCTGTGGCACACTGCCACCAGTGTGGTTAGTGCATAAGTGTTTACAGGAGGCCCCTCTCCTCCTCGGGGCCAGGAACCCCACCAAGGCAGCCCCCGGCCCAAGAGGAACCACCTGGCTTCCCCAGGAATCTTGACCTTCTGGTCACATCTGTGCACAGAACATTCGCAGGGCCATTCCAGGCTTCCCCTGAGGATGGGGACTGGAGCAGGATATCCAGCCTGGGCCCCCCAGTTCCCCAGCACCCGCACTCCCCAAGGCAGCCCTGTCCTGGCCCTGTTGCCCCCAAGTCAGTGTCTAAGGCCTATGGGGTGTCCACGTGCTCAGCAGGCGGGAAGCAGCGTCCTTCCAGGAAGAGCGCTGAAGTCTGGCCTGAGGAGCAGCACATTCACTCATCCCTTCTTTTCTCCCTCTGCATCCTCCAAGTCTTTCAACATAATGCTGTATGGGATTTTCATTGTTACTTTGTCTTTTCGGTTTGTTTTTTTCACCATTGAACCCAGGGCTCTTTACGCGGAGCGGCATTCCCAGTCCCTTTGAATTTTGAGACAGGGTCTCTCTAAGTCACTAAATTGTCCAGCTGGGCTCCAACCTGGCAATTCTGCTGCCTTAGCCTCCCAGAGTACGGGGATTACAGGCATCTATGACCACACCCAGTTGTTGGTTTTTCTAATATACATACTGGGGAATGAACCGAGGTCCTTTACACTAGCTACATCCTCCACTCTTCTCCATTACCTTACTTTGTGACAGAGTCTTGCTAAGTCACTAAGTTGCCCGGCTGGGGCTTCAGCTCACACTTCTCCTGCCTCAGCCTCCAAGAAAGCTGGTAACACAGGCATGTACCACCATGCTGGGCTTCAACATACAGTTATTTAACGACTTCAAAGGCCGCTGGTGACACCCTCGCGCAGCCCCAGCCCACATCCTGTGTGAGGGATGGTGGGGTCTGGGGAGGCAGGCAAGGGCCAGGCCAGAAGAGAGGAGTACCTTCCGGCCTCCCCAGTACTGGACAGGTGGTCCTGCCCCCCCCCAGCAGCCCAGGTGCAGGGGACAGGACATGACCCCTTCTCTCGGGGCTTTGGCATTTCCTGGAGGGGTTTCCCAGGAGGAGGCTGACCCAGCCCTGCGTGGTGCTGCCCTGCGTGCTGTGACTCAGGCTCTGTGGGGCACAGGTCATGGAGGGCAGGCCTCTGACCCAGCTCTGCTCCCTCCCAGGTCCCCCCTCAGCCCCTCATTGCTGGGACATGACTGCTCCAGTGCCCACAGCCCAGCAAGCCCCTGGGCCTTCCTCCTCTGAGGCTGAGCCACAGCACGACCAGCCACACAGGCCCAGTCCCTTCAAAGGAACGTGGCTCAGCTGTGGGGGCCAGGACCCCAGGCCTGTGCTGAGTCTGGGGTCCAGCTCCAGCCACCCTGGCTCACCCCACCACTGAACCTCAGGCATGAAGTCACCTCTGCCCCAGGATGACTCGAGGAAGCGGGCTGAGGGGCTGAGTAACTTGGGCCCAGTCACAGTGCAGTGGGTGACAGAGCTGTAATTCACGCCCGGTGGGGCAAGTCCAGTTCTTCCCCCAAGTAACTTCCCTTTCCAGGATGTCACCAGCAGCCACTGCCTCCTTCCAGAACCATGGGGCTGATGACGTCACCGCTCCTCGGAGCTGAGGCGGGGGTGGGAGGGTGGGTGGTCCCTCCTTCATCCCAGCTGGGTCCACAGCTTTGAGCCACAGTGGGTGGCGGAAGCACAGATCCTACCCCGGAGAGGGCACAGAGGGCTGGAGCCCACCCACACCTGAGCCAGGTTGGGAACAGGGAGGCCCCTGGATCATTCTTGGGGTCCCTGGTAGAGATGGGGGGGCTCCTGGGGGCAGGAAGTGGCACTGAGTGTGGGACTCGGACTGATGTGTATGTGGCCCTGCTGTGTGGCAGGGTCTTAGCACGAGGTGTGCTTTTAGGGTACAGTATTGGCCCAGCATGAGATGTGTCTTCTCAGTGTGCGGTGCCATCGGAGGCCGGAGCCCTCAGTGTGGGGAGCCCCACCCCTCAGGGCACCAAGTGCCACCTGCACTCCCAGGCCCCAGGTTGTGCTCATGACCAGCGCTCATCCCCTGCCTGCCTACCTGCTCCCGAGGAACACCTGTCTTCTGGGAGTGGAGGCCCCTACCCGGCGTCCCTCGGCCACACACACCTGTGGTCAGGCTGGGGGTGTGAGGTGGACAGGTGGTGGCAGACAGCCATCCCTCTGGGCCCTCTGAAACAGCCCTCACCAGGACAGCACAGGCCAGGACATGCCAGGCTGGCTGGGAGTCTGAGCTAGGACTCCCAAGGGTGCCCTGGCCCAATGCAGACCTCCTTCCCCCTGAGGGGCCAGGGAGCTCCACCTGGTCAAGGGACACTACACCAGAAGTCACCTCCTGGGCCCAGAGCGGGTGTGGCTGCCCTGCAGCTGGGCCCTCCCCTGGCACCTGCCCCACACCCACTGGCCAGTTATAAAGGAGGTTGTCTGGCCACATCTAGTTGTGTACCTGCTGGAGCTGCCGCCAGGCTGACTGAGCACAACACTGGGATGCGGATGGAGCTACTTGCAGGGGAAGGCCCCAGCCTTGAGGTACCAAGGTTGCCTGGTGAAGGCTCTCTCCCCACACTCAGTTCCCAGGGGTCGGGTGGGGCCCCCTGTGGCATTGGGGGCAGGTGGTCTCGTGTCTGTCTGCCCTGACATGCAGGGCTGCACCCCTTCTGGTGGTGCCTAGTGGGCAGAGCCCCCAAGAACATTACAGAGATTGTGAGGGCAGCCCCTGGGTGGGGCACATGACAGTGTGTGTCCAGGTGCCAACCACACGTGTTGATCACACCACGTGTGCGCAGAGCCGGGCGGGGAGGAGAGGTGAGTGTGGTCCTGTCTATGGGATGAGGGCAGGAGGCCTGCTCAGCCCTCACAGGGTGGGCTCCGGACCCCCTGTCGCATGGCCCCTGAGCGAAGGTCTGTGTGTGTTGGGCAGAAACCCAGCATTTGTGAGTGCACACGTGTGAGCATGTGTGCAGACTAGGGCATGTGCTGTGTGCACCCATGGGAGTGGCCTGTCACAGCTGAGCCCCTGGGGCCTGTAAGGGCAGCTCTGGTGCCCAGGCCTGCCCACGACTCAAGCTCTGTCTCAGGGCTCTGGGCCCTGGCCAATTGCTGAGCGGCCCTGGGGGCTCCTGCTGCTCCTCCGAGACCCTCTCTGGGCTTCTCCCTTCTCTGGGGCCTCTGCCTTCACCTCCCTGTAAGGTGTAGCTGACAGTCCTGCTTTACCCGAGGGGCTCAGCATGCCATGGGACGCGGATGAGGAGCGCCTGCACTGTGCCTGGCAGCAGCACTTGCAGGGATGAGCTTTTGGCCAGGCTGCTGCAGGGAATGTGGGGGCCACAAACCTGAGGGAAGGGGTCTTGGGTCAGCCCCCAGCTGTACATCCAGGACCCCCTGAAGCTGGCTGGCTTGCTCTGCCGTGTGTCCCCAGAGCACACTGATCGGCCTGTTCAAGCACACTTGGTGGGCAAAGCCTGGCTGGGTGGCAGCAGATGCCTACCCAGGGCTGGGCAGTGGGATGGGACTGGAGCCCTGCAGGCTGTACCTGGGCACCTGAAGACTTCCTGATTCAGCCCAGGATAGGGACAGTGCAGAACATCTTCATGGATCTTGTTCGCTGACTCAAAGCCTGTCAGGCCCTAGGGTACCCAGGGACCCAGTTATCCATGCTGGGAAGGCTGGGTCCTGGGCATGTCCCAGGACACTGGAGCCCAGGGCAAGACTGGGGGAAAGGCAGTCAAGCCAGGGCCAGCAGTGGCTTGATCTGCCTAGGGCCCGACCTGCTGGCTCCTGGGCCCACCTGTCCTGAGGTCTGAGGTCTTTCCTGGACATTCATCTACCAAGACAATGTCCCACTCTGGGCTCTCCGTGCTGAACAATATTTCAGCCTGACCTTAGCCCATACTTGACCAGACCAGCCTGATTGTGCCAGTCCTAATCAAACCAGCCACCCTGGCTGCTGGGGACTGGCAGAGGCCACTGAAACCAGGAGACAGTCTTCCCAGGGCCCTAGTCCACAGGGCCAGGCTCAGGGCTCAGAAACACAACACGGCCAGCCCTTCCTGTGTGGCTCACCTGGGCCTGCCTCTCCCCACAGGCCTCTGCCCCACTCTGGGGTGGCAGCACAGACTCACTTGGCTTCAACCCTCCTGCAAGCACCAGTCCTCTGCAGTCTGCTGCCTGCTGCCCAAGCTCAGCTCTGGGCCATGATAAGACATGACCCCAGTGGGGCATCCTAGGGGGAAGGGTACAGGGTCGGCCACAAGTGGGGAACAGTCTATGATGGGGCCTCACCTGAGTGTCCCGAGTGTGTGCAGAGACAGAGGATGGAGGGATGCCAGGCCCCAGTGGGGAGCCCTCACTGGGGGGGTGCCTGCTGGGGTGGGCGGGAGGAACCTGGGTGGCAGGCAAAGCCCTGTTAAGGTTTCCTTCTTGGACACAGGCTGGAACTGTGGCCCAAGCAGCCAGCACAGGGTCTGAGGCCATGGAGACCGCCCCAGCCCGGCCACCCACCCTGTCCCCGGAGCAGAGTCCCAGGGAGAGGCTGGTGGAGCTTCACACCTCCTTCAGGGAGCTGCTCACTTTCTTCTGCACCAACACCACTATTCACGGCACCATCCGCCTGGTCTGCTCCAGCCCAAACCGGCTCAAGAAGGTGTCCTGGGGGCTGCTGCTCCTGGGCACCCTGGGGGTGCTTTACTGGCAGCTCGGGCTGCTGCTGGAACAGTACTGGCGCTACCCAGTCCTCATGGCAGTGTCTGTTCACTCGGAGAGCAAGATCTTCCCATCCGTCACTGTGTGTGATATGAACCCACAACGGTGAGCGCCTGAGGTATCCCTTGAGGGTTGGGCTCCCCAACTCCTGGTCTCTGCAGCCTGGGACATCTCCTCGGCCATGATCTTGGGCAAAGCCCCCAGTCATTGACGAACCCATCTCCCCCACCCCTGTCGCTAGCCGGGAACTTTCAGGGCCACCCTGAAGGACACAGGTGATGGGAGACCAGGTTGAGGACCTGGAAGCAGGCTTTCCAGAAGGGAAGGAGCCGTGGGGGGGGGCTGTGAAGGCCTGGAGGACCCCGAGCCCTGGGGGCCAGGCTAAGCTGGAGGGTTTCGGCTCTGCAGCCAGAGAGGCCATGTGCCACTCCCAGTCAGAGCCTCCTCCTGTGTCTCAGGGAAGGGGAGGGACACTGCAGCCGAGCAGTGCTGAGCCGTGGGGGATCCTGGGAGACTCTCCATGGATGCCCAAGGTGACTGACACTGTGCTCGATGTCTGGCCTGCCCTCAGGCCCAGGGCCCTCCGCCACCGTCTGGAGGCACTCGATGCCTTTGCTCAGGAGAGTATCTACTCACTCTACAAGTTCAACTTCAGCGAGGGCAGGGACAGCCCTTTCTCCAATGTCCCTGGCCCTGAGCCACTATTCCAGCTGGACTGTGGGATCCGTCTGCAGCAGCTAAGGGACCTGGGCAGCCAGCACAAAGTGGGCTTCAGACTGGTGAGGAGGGGTTCCTGGGCATGCTGCCCTGGGGAGAGCTGCTGGGATGGGGGGCCGGCCCCACTGACTCCACACCCTCTCAGTGCAACAGCACCGGTGGCGACTGCTTCTACCGCACCTACTCATCAGGCGTGAAGGCTGCCCAAGAGTGGTACCACTTCCACTACATGGACATCCTGGGCCTGGTACCCACCGCTGGGGGGGACAGCCACCAAAGCCGCTTTGTCTTGTCTTGTCACTATGACAGCGAGGACTGCCAGGCTCAGTGAGTGGGGCAGGGTTGGTGGCCACTCCCTGTAGCTCCACCCGCACAGCATGGTCCTACCTGGATCCAGCTGGCCAGGCGCCAGGAGTTGACTGCCCACGGCTGGCCACAAACAGCGGCCTACAGAGATAAGGCAGGCTGGCTCCTCAGACACGTGACGGGGTGACAGGTGACAGGCACCTATCGTCTGAGGGTGGCCCTGGGTTCCAGGCACTTCCGGACCTGGCATCACCCCACCTACGGCAGCTGCTACACCTTCGAGGGTGTCTTTGCCGCCCAGCGCCCGGGCGTCACCCACAGTGAGTGCAAGCCCCCAGGGACACAGAGATGCGGCTAGGGACAGGTGGGGTAGGTGGCCTCACACCCCCCGTGGCTCCGCAGAGATCAGCCTGGTCCTCAGGACACAGACGCAAGTGGTGCTCCCCCTGCTGTCCACCGAGCCTGACATCAAGGTCATGATTCACGGGCACAACCACACGCCCTTCCTGGAGCCCCGAGGCTTCAGCATCCGGCCTGGGCTGGAGACCACCATCGGCATCCGAGAGGTGGGGGCGGGGCGGGGCCAGGCCGGGCGGCCGGGGCGGGGTGGGCTGGGGAGGGAACCGCACGCTGAATCCCCGCCCCCCAGGACGAAGTGCGCCGGCTGGGGAGCCCTTACGGCCGCTGCACGGATGGCCCAGAGGGCGTGGACGTGCGGCTACTCTACAACTCCTCCTACACCCGGCAGGTGAGTCTGGGGCGGACAGGGCGCCCGTGCGCGAGGCGGGCCTGCGCAGGCAGCCCCCTGCTCGCGTCCTGCTGTCCCCTAGGCCTGCCTAGTGTCCTGCTTTCAGCAGCTGATGGTGGAGAACTGCTCCTGCGGCTACTTCCTGCACCCCCTGCCGGCAGGAGCTCAGTACTGCAGCTGCGCGCGGCACCCTGCCTGGGGTGAGCCCCGCCCTCCTGGGGTTGAGTAAGGGAGGGTCGGTCTCTCCCTCTGCTCCCTGGTGACATCGCCGCAACCTGCCCAGGTCACTGCTTCTATCGTCTGCTCCAGGCCCTGGAAGCTCACCGGCTGTCCTGCGACTCCCGCTGCCCCAGGCCCTGCAGGTGAGCGGGGCAAGGGCTCCGGCCCCGAGGTCACTGCCCAGCTGTGCTGCAGGCTATGACCGCTGGCCTGTCCCTTGCAGGGAGACTTCCTACAAGCTCTCCGCCACGACCTCCCGGTGGCCTTCCGCCAAGTCAGCTGTGAGTGTCGAGGGGCGTGGGGTGGGGTGGCGGCTGCTGGGGAGGGAGCCACAGTCACTCAGGCTTCCTTTCTGCACAGGACTGGATCTTTGCTGTGCTGGAGGAGCAGACCCAGAGCCCAAGCCTAAGCCCAGGGCGCAGGTGGGCGCCCCCCTCTCCAGGGCGGTCCCGGACCCCCCGGAGCCACATGGCCAAGGTGAACATCTTCTACCAGGAGCTCAACTACCGAATGGTGGATGAGGCACCCGTGTACTCAGTGAGGACCAGGACCCAGGGCCTGGGGTGGGGGTTGCTCAGACATCCACAGGTGAGAGGACCACAGCTAACTGCCCACTATCCACCCACCCCAGGTGCCACAGCTGCTGTCCGCCATGGGGAGCCTCTGGAGCCTGTGGTTCGGCTCCTCTGTCCTCTCCATCGTAGAGCTGCTGGAACTACTGCTGGATGCCACAGCTCTCACCCTGCTGCTGGGCTTCCGCCAGCTGTGGGGGACACAAGTGTCCCAGCCTGGAGCCAGCTCTGCTTCAGGGTCAGCCTGCACCTCGCCTGGGGCCAGGGACTCTAGGCCTCGAGTCCCTGTGGGGGCTCTGGAGAGGGTATTGGTGGAAGAGTTAGGCTGAGCTCCCGCCCCCTGACTCCATACCCCAACAGCCTTGCCAGGACATCTAGTCCCTGGTCCTGGCCCTGGGGGCTGTGGCCCAGGGACGGCCCTGGCTGCCAAGGGTGGGCCAGACCAGCTGCCACAGGGTCTTCCCTGGCCACCCAACAGCTGAGAAAGTAGCATGCCTGGCCAGCAGTCAGGCTGACACCAGGAGTGCCCAACATGCCAGGGCCTCTCTTCGCCCACCCTGCCTGGGGTTGACCCCTCCAGTTTCCAGGAGGCTCAGGGCAGGGAGGAGGGGCGTCCCCACCTCTCTGTACACCTGTATTCTGGATGTGAACCTGGAGCCTTTGCAAGCGAGTGTGGACAGAGGCGCCTCCACCTGCTGGTGTATGATTGGTGTCTCGTCTATGTGTGTTCTCAAGGAAGTTGGCTCTGTATGTACACCTGTGTGTAGGTAGGAGTGTCAGGTAGAGCCTGCCTCAGTCTCAGGGAAGCCTCTGGGCAGGCAGGAGGGAATGAGTGGCGATCCCAACTCATCCAGTGACTCCGGACTGCTCTGTAATAAAACTGCTAATTACACCTAGTGGCGAGCATGTATGTGGGTCTCCCCAATCACTCACATTGGGCTGAGCTTCACTCGGGCAAACTTCAGGGACAGGGGCACATTAGGAGTAGGCCTGGGACACTGGCCCCAGGCCATCCTTGCTGGTGGATGTTCCGGCCATCCTCACTCCCATTAGAGGACACAGCCTCACCCGGAGAAAGGTAGAGGGGCCAGGAAACTGGAGCTGGTAGTGCCAGGAGTCAGATTTTGTCAGGGAAGCCCCAGGTCTTCCCTTGGGCCCTTAGCAGCTTGTCTGAGTTGTCCTTTTGAGGAAGGGACACTGGTGGTACCCTGGTAGCCCTCTCAGGGCTGCCCCTCGGGAAAGGGAGAGGATGAAGACCCCCCAGCTGAGACAGGGCAGAGTGAGTCGGGTGAGTCAATGAGCAGGCAGTGGGCGCAAGCGCAGAGGTTTATTAACCAGGAGTGATCAGAGCAGGGGTATGGGGTCCTGCCAGCCGGAGGATGGCAGGGGAGGCAGTGGGCAGAGCTCAAGCAAGGAGGAAGAAGCTAATTCTGCTCTTTAGGGTCACAGCCAGCAGGCAGGGGAGTCAGGGGCCCAGTCCAGTGCCCACCTTACCACCCACGGAGCCTCCCCGGGCAGCATTTGCATAGTGACCAGCCAACTGGCCTGGGCCTGACCAAGAGCCCATAGGTTTGGAGACCCAGCCTCCATCCTGGCTCCTTCAGAAAAAGGGAATTTGAAGGCATTGGCGGACCCACAAGTGAGGGACAGACCTCTGGAGGGGGCCCAGCCCCTGAGGCAAGGCCAGCCAGGAGGCAGGGGAAGAGGTATGCAGCCTCCCCGCAGTGGCAGGCAGAGCCAGGGTCAGGATGGTCCTCGCAAGTCCACAGAAAAGAGACGCAGACAAGAACGAGGTCATTGTAGAAAATCCACTCAGTGGGTAACAAAGAACATTGGGCATGGGGTGGGAAGGGCCAGTTGCTTTATGCACAGGCTCTGGGCCTAGTGCCAGAGATTTGCCTCTGGAAGAGGCAGGGACAGGTCTGGCACTGGGGGCTGGCACGGCTGGCCACATGGCCATGGGACGCCCGCATCCAGCCAGGGCAGGGACCCCAGACCAGAACCCATCCACCCAGCACCCGCGAAGCCCAGCCTGGATGCTGGGTCACTAAGTGAGGTACTTGGGTTGGTTCCCTGGATGGGCCACACTCCTGCCTGGGAAGGCACTGGGGTCAGCCACCAGCCCCAGGCCCAGGAGGGGCTCTGGGGGAATAGGAGGACCCAGCTAGCGGGTCAGTGCTCTGGGGCAGTGAAGGTGGAATACCAGGTGACACAGGCCCTGAGGGCAGAGGGGCACGAGGTGACTTGGGATCCAAGAGTGGTTTGTGAGCAACCCGGGCTCCCAGAGAAGGGGCCACCTGAGGCCAGAGGGTCCTCAGGTGGGGTGAGGGACACCAGATGATGCAGCACTCCCCAAAACGTGGGGCTTCGAAAGACTCGGTGCTGGAGTGCCCCTCCCATCCCGAGGTCCAGGCACTGGAGGGAGGGACGAGCAGGCAGGTGGGCTCCGAGAGCGCCCGGGCCCCGGGGCTGTCGGGAGGGGCCCACGGTCCACACGCATAGGGCCGGGGCTGAGCTGGGGCCAGGGTCTTCAGGGGCATGCAGGGTGTCCAGGCCGGGCGGGCAGTGGTCCCACAGCTGCCCGGCCGGCCCGGCCCTAGCTCTCCTCCAGGTGGAGGCCAATGAATTCCTGGATGCACCTGCGGTACTGGAGCTCAGTGGGGCTGATGCCCGCCAGTGGACCCGGCTGGCCCGAGGGCGCCTCGGCCTCACGCATCTCCTCAGCCATGCGGGCCAAACGGAGCCTGGGGGAGGGCGCAGGGTGAGGCCCCGCCCGCCCGCAGAGGCTCCGTCCTTGCTGCACCGTCCCCGCCCCCAAGGCCGAGCTCACAGTGTGACAATGTCGGCATTGGCCGCCTGCACAGCTATGCTCAGCGGGTCCTGCTGCTGCTCGTCCAGGGCGTGCTGATCAGCTCCTCGCTTCAGGAACAGGCAGACCTGGCTAGGGGCAGACGGCCGTGTCGCGGCGGGCCGGGGCCGGGGCCGGGACAGGGGGACTGACCGGGCAGCGCGGACTCACCCGGTGCGGCCAAGGAGCGTGGCATGGTGCAGTGGCGCGCGGCCCCTGCTGTCTCTTTGGTTCACATCAGCTCCGTTTTGCAGAAGAAATTCACAGATGATCAAGGAGCCCTGAGGAGCGCGTGTGGGGGTCAGACTGAGCCGGGAAGCGGCCCCCGCCCGCGGGCGCGCACGCTGTCCGGCTCACCCCCAGCACCGCCTGCACCAGCGGAGTCTTGCCCTCGTCTTCCGCGTCCGCCCAGTTGACCTCAGCCCCGTGGGCCAGCGCCGCGGCCAGTGCGGGGAGGTCGCGGGTGCGCGCCGCGCGGTGCGCCAGCAGCCCGGGGTGCAGCTCACGCACGTCCGCCAGGCTCCAGGCCTCCGCCTCCCCATCCGCCTCACCGCTGGACTCCTCGGACTCCGCACCCTCTGCGGGGAGGGGGCGGCTAGACTGCGCCAGCGAAGGGCGGCCGGGTCCGGGGCTGGGGCTGTGGCGGGGAAGAGGGCGCCACCCACCCTCCTCGGTGACGCTGTCCACCACCGAGCCCGCGCCGAAGGCCAGGACATCGGAGCTGCCGTCAGAGCTGCCCCCCAGGCCACTGTCGCTGCTCAGACCTGCAGGACCGCACGGGGAGGGGTTCAACTCCCAGGGAAAGTTGGGGGAAGGCTGGAGCCCCAACCGCCCTCCAGGGGACACTCCCAAGGGGAGGTCCAGCCCTCTCTGGGAGGTCAGGGGAGTCCTGGCAGGAGAGGAAACCAGAAACAGTGCAGGGAGCTCTGCCGAGCAGGCGGGCGGCTCAGGTCTTCCTCCAGACCGCAAGGTTCAGGCCCCAAAGGAGGAACCAGAGGATTAGGGCGAGTGAAGCAGCGCCCTCTGCTGCCTGGCACCCAGCCTCACTCCAGGAGCACACAGCAGCGCCCCGCCGTAAGGCTCCGGGGAGCACAAGGCCTGCGCGTTCACACACGTCCACGCATCTTCACAGTCTCCAGCCCAAGATATCCCCAGTCCTCTAGATGCCCTTCCAGGCTTAGCTGGCTGACGCCCCAATTCTCCTGCCCGGCCCCATCCCTCCTCCAGGGGATACACGTCCTTGCAGTCCCTGAGCAGACCCAGTCCACACTGGTCCACTCGCCTGGCCCCTCTTCTGCAACCCTGCCGGGGTGACAGCCAAGGGGCAGGCAGCAGGGCGGCCGGCACTTACTGCGTGGACCAGCCCCCGCAGCCCCTGCATCGAAGTAGGAGAACAGAGAGTCCAGCTCGTCTGGGCAGAAGAGGGAGTCCCGGCGGAACCTGCGCTCCAGAGTCCCTGCTGCAGGAGGCAGCTGCTTTCACATGGGGAAACCGATGCCCCGGCGGGGCAGGTCCCTGTCATGCTGGCAGAGGAGCAGAACTCCAAGGTGCTCCCGGAGGCCCTTCCTGCCCACCCGGACCGAGACTTGCAGCTTGCCCCACCCCCCACGCAGCCGCAGGGAGCCCATCCTCAGTGCTGCCCTACCTGAGGTGCAGGCTCCTACCTGAAGACAGAGCAGCCAAGGAGGGAAGGACCGGCTCGAGTCGGGCCTTTCGGCGGGTGGGGGGGGGTCGGGGGGAGCTGTGGGGGCGCTGGCACTTCTGTCCTCGCCAGTGCCTCGGGGCTTCCAGGGTGGGTACTGTGGGCAGTTTCCCAAGGAACTTCTTCTCCACGTACTTGTCTTTGATCCAGGCTTCCTTGTCCTGTCTGGACCAGGACAGATGTGAGCTGCATTCACAGGTGGGGGCTCCCTGGCCCATGCTAGGCTGTACCCCACCTCACCTGGGGCTGCTGGCTGTGGGCTTCCTGCTACTAGGACCCTCACACTGGAACTCATAGATCTGGTTTATGGTGCTGTTTCCAAGCTCACACATCAGCTGGTGGGAATGGGGTATAGACATCAGTCAGTCCAAGCTCCGAGACCCCAGCTCCCCTCTCCCCACAGACCCAGTGGCCTGTGAGAGCCCCCTGTGCACCTTCAGCAGCTCTGGCTCCCAGGAGTCCAATGTCAGAGATCGCACCTTGGAGCAGTGGACACCCAGGCTCCTGGATGGATGGCAAAGGGCAAGGATGACTCAGAGCTCAGCCTCCCCCTGGCTCAGCCCCGCCTCAGGCTCGGCCCCACCCTCTGAAGTCAGGGGCACCTGTGGATGCCTGAGCACTCGATGCAAAGCAGGACACCCAAGTTGATGCTGGCCCAGCGGGGGTCTGGCTGGCCACAGTCACCACACTGGCTGTTGCCAGCCACACTCTGCACCCGCTGGAGCACACTCTCGCCCTTGACGCCGCGCTCCCGAGAGTCTGTGGTGGAGTCGATGCTGCTTGTGGAAGGGGATGCTGTGCGGTCCAGCCTCTGGGGGATAGTGCGAGGAGGCACTGAGCACTCCAGGAGCTCCAGCCTGACTCCCCTCCTTCTCCCTAGCCAGGAAGCCCAGCATAGACCAGGGCCCCTCAAGCACAACCCTGCTCATGCATGTGTATACACACAAGCACACACAGGCTGCAAGCATGCATGCAGCCTGCAGGAGCAATGTCACAGGTGTGCACATGCATGTGCAGGGGACGGAGGGCCGTACCTCGCTGTAGCAGCTGTCAGGGCTCTCGCGGTAGGCAGAGGCAATGCTGGCCTGCACGGCTTGGACCCAGGCCTGGCGTAGCTTCTCTGAGTCAGCCTGCAGCATGCAGCTCCTGGAGGGACAGAGTGGTCAGGCTAGGTGGGCAGGGCCTCCCCACTCCACCCTGGGCTGGGCCTCCTCACTTGGTGGGTGACACGACCTCGAAGCAGAACCTCCGCTCAGTGTCCTCACATGGCTTCACAGAGCATAGGCGGAGGTCGTCAACCACCACAGTCAGCGAGTCCTGTGGGTGGCAGCACTGTGGCCTACATTCTCACCAGCACCCTGCCCTGGCTGTCCACCTTAGGGGCTTCTCAGGGGCTCCTTCATTTTAGGGGCTAAGAAATCTGTTCCCAACTCTCTGTTCTCTTGGTCTTTGGTGCTCCTCAGAGTCCTCAGCCTGTGCCAACCCCACTGGCCAGCCCACCCCACAGTGCAGGCTCGTCAGAGTCCAGCCCCTGGTAAGCCCACTGCAGTGCACCTTGAGCTTCTTCTGGTAGACCAGCTGGCTGTTCTGGATGGAGAACCAGCGCCTGGTGAGGGGGACAGGGGTCAGGACCAGGCAGAGCTGGCCCCTGTCCACTCTGCCCTCAGCCCCTGCTTCAGGAAGGCCCTCACCGGTTCCATGTCTTGAAAGCATTGCTGGCCCTCTTGAACAGATAGCCCTCCATCACCACGCCACTGGGCGCATCCACATCGAATTCTACTTTGGATTCATCATAGGAAAAGTCCTAGGGGTAGGGGACAGCTAGCTCTCAGGGAACACAGCCTTTGAAGGATCCTGGCACCCCAGGTCCACAGAGGTGAGGCCCAGACTCAGGCTGGAGACCCCTTCCCCCAGGTCCCAAGAGCAGACTCCTAGTATTCACAGCTGGGCTGAGGACTTGGACCCCACCTCCAGGCCTGCAGGGATAGCAGGCTGCAACCAGGAAGGAAGCTGCTGCCCCCCCCTGTGTGCCGTGCATGTCGCCAGCTGGGCTGGCTCCAACTGCCCAACAGAGGCCCATTCACAGCCTAGGGTGTCCTGAGTGCCTGCCATCCAGCAGGCCAGGCCAGCGGAGGACAGACCTGGACACCTGCTCACAGCTAATCGGGGGCAGGAAACCACGGCTGGCGCCACTCCAATGGCCAGGACAAGATCTGGGCTCAGCCTGCATCCTGCTGGTGCCAGCAACCAGCCCAAAGGTGCCACCAGTGGTATCCTTGGTGCTGAAGCACCTCGTAGGGAGGGGCTCTCACCTGCAGTAGCGTCTAGGGAGGATGGGAGAGAAACCAGTGAGTGACTGTCACCCCCCCAGACTCCTGCCAGCAAGGCCCCAACCTTCCCTGGCTCACTCTTTTTTTTGTACCGGGGATCGAACTCGGGTCCTTGCGCTTGCGAGGCAGGCGGCGGAGCCACTGAGCTGAATTATCCCAAAATAGCCACCCTTACTGCAGTCACACAGAGGTCACCGCAGTGGCAAGAGGAGGTCTCAGGGTACACCAGGCCCACCCTGTGGAGGTTCCCTCCCTCTGCCTGAAACTCTGGGAGGTAGAGGGCCTGGTGGGCAGTTGAGGCAGCTCTGGGAAGAGGGGTGCAGTGTGTGGGGGTGATCTGGGTTCACGGAGCAGGGGCATGGAAGGGGCGAGGGTAGGGCTCATGGGACCCCTGCAGTTGGGCCTCACCCGCTGCTGGATGGCAGCGTGCTTGCGCTCCATTTCCCGCTTCTCCACGGCAGAATCGATCACCAGCTGGTCCAGCTGTGGGGGAAGGAATCAGAGTGGCAGTGGCCCCTACCTAGATACCCAGTCCGGCCCCCAGGGCTCACCTCGGCTGCCAGCTTCTTCATGTAGGGGTCCAGCTGGTGCAGGAGGCTGTATCCCTGCTGGAAGAAGCTGTACTGGGCATGCATGAAGGACAGCATCTGCAGGGGAGGTGGGGGCCGGCCAGTGACTCACAGTCGGGGCCCCCAGCACCCACAGAGCTCACCACACTCTTGGGCACCCCCACTAGCAGGACTCACAGAATCCAAGATCTCGAACTTCTTCTTGGCCTGGAGGACATTGATCTGAGGAGGAGGAACCCAGAGGTAAGGGTCAGGTCCAGGTGGCCATGACTGCCCTGGCCACAGTGGACCCGGACACTGCGGTTCTATGACCTTCCCAGGCATTTAGGCCCTGCTCAGGCCAAACTCATCCTCCCGTGGTCCCAGCATTCTTCCCCCTGTCCAGCATGGGGGTCTCCTGGACAGAGCCAGAACTCAGTCCCCAAGCCCCCACCCTACGGCCCGTCCCCACCCCCAGGCCTCTGTCAGGCCTCCTCCCTGTTCCCAGAGTTGTGCCCTTGTCCAAGCTGACCTGGAGCACATAGTCTAGCGCGAGGTGGCGGAAGCACTTCCGGGTGAGTGTGAGCGCACCAGTGGCCTCCTCTACCTCGTGGGGCCGGTGCCTTGGGGCCTGGGCATTCCTCACCAGGGACAGCTCCATGTCCTCCCGCACCTTATCAAACTGCTTCTTGGTCTCTTTGAACTTCCGAACATCCCTAGGGGCCAGCATGTGTCAGATCAGGGCTCAGAGGTCCGAGGAGAGGTACATGCTGGGCCCACCTGCCCTAAGTGGCCCCAGCGTCACCCTGACCCTCCTCTGCCTCTGGGCTGGGCTCCTTCCTGGCCTCCCTGCCCTGTGCCCCAAGCCATCCCCTCCCAGACTCCCAACTGCAGCGCCCCCAGTGGCTTCAGCCTCAGCCTTACCAGACCCAAGTACCCAATACCAACTCCACATTTCCTCCAGGGGAACCCCAGGCACCCCAGCCACACATGTGGGCTCCCTGGGAGAGGGAGCCTGGCCTGGGCTTTCCCCTCAACACTGGTGGTCACGGGGCCCTGGCCACTCACTCTTTGATGAAGTTGTGGAGCTGCTGTCGCACAGATCTCTGGGCCTGGTCAAACAGGATCTGGGGAGCCCCATGGAGGGGTTATTGAGGCTCTGTCACCACGGGGCCCAGAGGCAAGGCCACATCAATCCCACCCCCAGGTGAGAAGCAGGGGGCTCCCTCGCAGCTCTGCCTGTCCCGTACCCAGGTACCCAGAGCCAGCCCGCGAGCAACCCCCAGCCTGGGCCAGTGCCCAGAGCCAACAGCTGTGACCTCCTGCGCACCCCTCCTGGCTCTCAGCCAGGCTCCCGGGGCCCCCTGACAGCTCCACCCACCGAGTTGGGTGGGCCATGGGCCATCCCCAGCAGGAAGCACCTGGCTTAGGGACAGAGAGGGGTGGGTGTTGGGAGCGACAGGGGTTTCAGGTCCCCCAGCCCCTCCTGCAGTCAGACCCTCACAAGGAACAGGGCTGGGCCAAACCAGAGGCAAACAAACCCACAGACAGGCAGGCAGGCAGGCAGAATGAGGCATCCTGAGCTGATTTATTTCTGAGCTTCCCCTGCAGGGGTGGGGGCCCCTTGTTTAGTCTGGGGCTCTGGTTCCTAGGGCTCATTCCCTCCCCGCCCCGTGTGCCTCAGCCTGCTGTGTGCCTACCCATGTGGTGCCCGGAGGTCATGCAGGCCCTGCCTGAATGGCAGTGAGGTTGTCACCAAGAAACGGGCCAGTCTGGGATAGAGGACTCTGCTCATCTGGGCCTCCAAGGTCAACCCGTACTCAAGACCCTTCTGCCCTCAGCCCTGGGCTATGTGCTGTCTCCCCTGTGCCCAGGATCCAGTGTTGACCCTTCCTGGGACATGGCATGGCCCCTGGAGATGTCCCCCACACCCTGCTGACTCACAGATACAGGGTGGTCCCACCCTCACAGGCTGAAGGAGTGGATATGCTCCCCACCCCCCTTCCCCACCTGAGCTGGTGCCCAGGTGGACAGGCAGGGCCTTCGGGGCTCTTGGAGCTCACCGTGTGGAAGTTGACCATCTCCTGCAAGCTGTCTCCAAAGCGCTGCAGACATTCCTGGGGAGAGGCAGGAAAGGCTGAGCTGACCCAGGCCCTGGAGTGGGGGAGCCTCCTAGGAAGCTGGAGGAGACCCTCCCTGCCCACAGGACCTAGGACTGCACCTGATCAGAGCCAGATGGCACCTGCTGGCGGCCTGGGCCCTGGGGGGCGGCTGCCTCCCTGACCCTACCCCGCCTCAGGATCAAAGCTGGACTGGCTACTCACGGAGATGACAGTGTCACCCTGGCACTGCTGGGACAGGTCTCGGACGCCACTCACGAAGAGCCTGTTGGTGGTGACATAGGCCTTGCCAGCCTCGATCATACCACTGCACAGCCTGACGAGCTGTGGACAGGACAGGTGGGCAGGGGAAGGGCATGTCAGCTTCTCCAGGCAAGCAGCACTCACAGTTGTCACAGCTCCCAAGGTGAGAGCTCCCAGGAGCAGCCAGAATTTCATCAGGCCCCTTCAGCGCCTGCCTGGGACTAAGGGAGCAGCAACCATGGCTTTCGTGCCTACCCCTGCCTGCCTGGCACCCAGGGCCTGGGTGACAAGGGGCTCACTGTGTGGAAGGTGACCATCTCCTGCAGGTTGTCAACTTCCACATGATGGGGGAGCAGAAGGCAGGCAGGGCAGGGAGCCTCAGGGAGGAGCAGAAGGCCAGCCCTGTGACCAACACCCATCCTCCCTGGCTCTGACCCCACTCCCCTTCCTTCCCTGCCCTCCCCTTCAGCCCCCAACCCTGACACACGCTGGGCACAGCCCACACAGCAGCTGTCCTCATCCAGCAGCCAGCAGAGGCACAGGGAACATACCTCGGGTCATCCTGCTCAGAGAGACAAGACTCAGGGTCCAAATGGATATGTGTGTCCTGAGCACCTGGGATGCGTGCAGTTGCACACAGATGGGGACATGCAGCAGAACCAGGTCCTGTGCACAAAGCGTGCTCCGACCCAGGAGGGTGTGTGTGGATTCTTACTCCTGGAAGGCAGGTTCTGCCACTCAGCCATTCCCAAGCCTGCTATGGGTGTGGTGGCGGAGCAAGCTTGGGCCCTCCCTGAGCCCCAGGCTGCCCCTTACCTTGTCCAGTTTGGTCTCGATCTCCACCACATCTGTTTCTACCTCGTCAATGGTTGCTCTGCAACAAGAATGAGTAGCTTTGCAACAAGCTGTGCTAACTGGGGTCAGGTGGGGACTTCATCTCCACGTGCATCCCCCAGGGGTCTGCTGTGGGAAACTGAGGCAAAGAGAGGGAAACACCATACCCCTGGGGGCAGGACAGGGGCCAGCTCCAGTGATTCTGGAGACACCCAGCACCCACTGCCACCTCAGGCAGGAAGAGGCCATGTGGCTGTGACCCCCACCTGGCTCCAGATGCTGCATCTTGGGGACAGCAGGGGGCCAGAATCCCACAGTGGTGGTGCCCATGACAGGCAGGGGTTAAGTCCTGGTGGCCTCCCTCCTCTCTGGGGCTCAGAGTTGGCCCTGGACCTTTGGGGACAACTTGACTCCTGAAGCTCCTGCCCCTCTGTTCCTCTTGCAGTCCACCCTGGATGGGTGCCTGTGGCCCCCACATGTGGCTGCAGCAAGGGGGCCAGGAGACCCCAGACCAGCTAAGAAGGATCCTCCTCAGGACTCACTCCCACCACGAAGCCTGACAATGGGGCTGCCCCGGGGAGGGAAGGGTTAAGGAGTGACATCACCAGGAGAAGCCACGGAGAATCCCCAGAAGCCAGAGGCAGATGGATGGGGCACGTGACCCCCCCCTCCGGGAACAGGAAATGGGGAAATAGGGCCAGGATCCCAACAGCCCCCCCACCCCACACAATCAGCTCAGCTGGTGAGCTGGGCCCATCTGGCTGGCCTAGGATGAGGTATTCTGGGACAAGGGCTCAGCCACAGGCAAAGGGGTCCAGAGACCGGGATACACACACACACACACACACACACACACACACACACACACACTAAATGACGGATAGGACACCCGAGTCAGCACCCCCCAACCCCCTACAGGAGCCCCTAAACAACCCCCCCCCACACACACAGACCATTCTAGAGTTTCCCAAACTAGCGGAGGGGCCTGCTGGTCACAAGGTGTGCATCTAGGTGTGTCCTTAATTAGCAGATAGGATCAAAGTGGCCAGGGTACCCACCTAAGCAGAACATCAGATTCCTCTCAGCAACCACCCTTCCCTTCCCTTCCCATGGGGTAAGGGGGTGCTGAATCCCAGGGCAGGGAGAGTACAGAGAAAAGGGAGCTCAGCAACTACTTGGAGGACCCCTTGCAGGACGCTCTCTCCCCCAGGCCTCCCGGAAGAAATGCCCTCTGGGAGGTGTGTCGAACCCCACAAGGATGCCCTGACCCCGGACCCAGGACCCAGACCTGACCACTGCTGTAGCTGAAGATCCCAGATAACACAGAAGGGACTGTCTGCCTAGGAGACAGTGCTACAGTCCCCCACCCCTGTCCCCCAGGCAGGCCAGGCCAGGCAGACTGGACGGCCCAGACAGCTGCACTGGAGCTGCCACCCGTCGGCCAGGCCGGGGGCGCCTGTGTCTCCAGGAGGGGTCCAGGGCAGGGCTGCACCAGGAACTAGCAAATGTACCCATGGAGACACAGTGAGTGCCCAGCAAAAGCTTGAGGAATCAGCACCATCCTGAGAACCCCTCACACTGCCCTCCTCCGCCTGGGACTTGAGGCCTCCCTTCAGGTCTCAACTTCCTCAGAGCGTGGAAGATGGGGAGCAGTCCCCCTTCACTAAAGCCATGACTCAGCGCCTGAGCCCCACCCAGGGGAGAGGCCTCGGAGGCCTGGTAGCTCTCCTTCCGGCTTCCTTGAACCCCTTGCCAGTGTTCCAGAGCTAGGGGGACACTCCTGAGGCTGTCCTGACTGTCCTCACCCGGCCAACAGCCCCCAAGCAGGAACCCCCCTTGCAGCTTGGGCACCTGGTTCCACATCACTTCCATATCCTCCTGCCATCAGTAACCAGGTCTGTGACCAGAAAGATCAAGTTGAAACCTCAGTGACACCTGGGCAGGGACTCCTCCAAGCCAGTTATGTCACACCCCACCCCAGAACCCACTGAGCCAGGCTTCTGTGACCCCAAGACCAAGGTCCAGGTGTCATCTTCAGCCCACTCCAGGTCCCCCGCCCTGACAAAAGTGCTACAAAGAGAGGAAATGGCCCCCAGGTCTAACATGATGTTTGTGGGAGGGAATGGTTGCAGCACCCTCATCGCAGACCCCTCCACGGTGAAGGAGGTGCTAGAGGCTTTTAGTGAGGGGCCAAAGTGAATCTAGTGGGCTTTGGCCTGGACCAAGCCCTAGCAGAGAAGCCCTGGCCACACCTCCCCCACAGCCATGGTGGGATCAAGAACTGCCTGATCACTCTGATCCCTTCCCTCAACCAGCTGTAACAGAAGAGGGAGAACACGGAGGGGGGGGGGATCACCTGGCCTGATGCCCTGGGCCTGGGGCCATTCTGAGCCCAAATCTTGATCCTCCCCCCAGGTCCTGAGGTATTTCTTGCTTACTCCTGTGTGGGGTGGTTTTGCAAAGGGGCTGGATCTAGGGAAGCTGGGGCAGGCCCCCAGAGAACCAGCCTACATGCAGACATCTGAGCAAGCACACACATGCAGAGGCAGGACACATGGTCACACACACACTAGCGCACACACACACACAGCAGTCCATTCACACACAGATGTGTGCTCCCAGGGATAAGGGCACACACACAGAGATGTGCACTGGGGCTGGAATGTGTACACACATGCACAAACTAACGTGTCTACTGGCCTGAGTCCATGCAATGAGGTGCACTCACACAAAGGAGCACACACCCAGCACGCATCCAGCTCACCCACACATGCATGTGCATGGTCTGGCATTCGAAGGGAGGGCAGGAGAGGCAGAGCTCACACACGTGCACCCATGCACACATATAAGTGGCCTTGAGAAGGTACACATTTGCCAACAGTACACAGGAGGGACCCTGTTAGTTTGCCAAACGTTGCCCAAGGAGTGAGGCCAATGCATACTTGTGTACATGTCAATGAATGCGTGGCTCATGCAGATGTGAATACCCAGGAACTCTGAAAGACACAGCAACGCTGGGCTGCACGGAACCTTTGCCTCCCACCCAAAATTCCCCGTGGCCTCCCTCACCACTCTGTGCACCCCTAACCCTCCAGGGCCCTGGGCCGCCTACCAAGGGAACATTCCGCGACTCCTAAACGTGGCTACAGCTGCCTCCATCGGTGCACTGCCCTGACACATGGACCAAGACAGAGACCAGAGACAGACCCGCCCTGGACCGAGACGGCCCTGGCCAGGACTGGACTGCACGACCCCGGGGGCTCGGTCGAGACAGGTGGCCACTGCACGACGGTGCAGACACAAAGCAGGGGTGGACAGTCCCAGAGGTGGCCGTGTCCACGACTGCCGGGCTGCCCACACGCACACCCTCGCGCGAAGTGACCGGCGCGGGGATGTCTTTGTTCCAGTTCCCCGGGGTCGGGATCGGGGAGGGGCTGCAGCTTGGTCCGAGGCCAGGCCCCCCACCCGGTCCCCGGCGGCCGCGTCGCGACGTCGAGCGCCCGCCCTCCGCGGCACAAAGGCGCCCAGCCCCGCCCGCGTCCACCGCGGCCCGCGCACCTGAAGCGCGGCGAGTCCTTGATGCACTCCTCGAACTCCACCGTCATGGCTGCAGCGGCACTCACTGGGCCGAGGACTGCGGCGCGCCGAGCAGCATCCCCCGCGGCCGCCCGCCCCGGATTGAGGCCGCCGAGCCGCGCCGCGCCCCGCCCCGCCTGTCACTGCCGGGGAGCGTCGCCAAAGTCCGCTGCTGCGCAGGCCGCCCGCCCGCTGTCACCGCCAGGGAGTGTCGCCAAACGCCCTTCCGGGGTCCACAGCCGGCGGGTCGGGGACCTGGGGGGGCTGCGACCCTTGGGCTTCTGGGGCTGTCGGCCGGGCCGCGGGAATGTCGAGGGCGCGGGCCCCGCCTGCCGCAGCCATCCCAAGAGTTGCGCAACTCGGGGCGTTTGCAAAAACCACAGACTGAAGGATTTGGCCAGGACGCGGCGGACGGCCACACCTCGGGAGGACGGCGCAGGCGGCGGGGCTTGGGGAGGTGAGGGAAGGAACGAGTACATTAAGGAAGGAGGGCACGCGTGAGGGTGGTGCGCTCCCGTCCCGCGGCGCCGCGTCAGAGTCGGGGCCCTTTGGCTGGCCAGCTGGCGACATACTTTGAACCCGCTCCCTAAGACTGGCCCCGCCTCCCCGCCCCGCCCCGCCCCCAGCGGCCGGTCCGGGCGGTGTGCGCAGGCGCAGGGGGCGGAGCCGTGCCACGCGGGGCCAAGTGCGGAGGCCGCCAGCCGCCGGCCATGGGTCCACCGCTGCCTCCGGGCGCGGGGCTGGCGCGCTACCTCGTGTACTTCCAGTACGTGGGCACAGACTTTAAGTACGTCTTCCAGCCACGCCCCTTCCCACCCGTCCCGCCACTTGGGGTCGCGGGAGGCACGTGACCCAGCCGGGGAGCCAGTGTGGCGGACGGGATGCCGGGCGGGGTGCCTGGCGGTCGGGCGGGGACCGGAAACGCTTTGTCGGACCTCGGGGGGGGGGGGGGGGGTTCTGAGGACGGTCCCCGTGACTCCGCCCGCCTCTGCCTGCAGCGGGGTCGCAGCTGTCAGGGGCGCCCAGCGGGCCGTCGGGGTCCAGAACTACCTGGAGGTGAGGAGTCCCTGCCGGGCTGGAGGACGACGGGACCCAGGATGGCCCGGTGTCGGGACGAGCGGGAGTCCTGCTCGCGCTGCGGGCGTCGGGCGCTTCCCCCCTTTCTCCACCCTTCCACCTGATCCTTGCAGGAGGCCGCGGAGCGGCTGAACTCGTTGGAGCCCATCAGGTTCACCCTCTCCAGCCGCACGGATGCAGGAGTTCATGCGCTCAGCAACGCGGCGCACCTCGATGTTCAGCGTCGCCAGGGCAAGCCGCCCTTCTCCCCCGAGATCTTGACTAAGGTTCTCAACACCCACCTGAGGCACCCAGCCATCAGGTGAGCAGGGCGACCTGAGCTCAGCCCTGGGCTCTACTGCTTCTTGGCCCTGTCCACCGCAGGGGTAAAGTGGAGAGCCAGAAATACTTTGTGTCTCTGCGGAACTTGGAGATGAGGGCTCCAGGTACCAAAGTGACACTTGGATGTGTAAGTGGGCTCACTCCCCCCCTGAGCCTGACCTGTGGCCACAGGGTCCTGCAAGCCTTCCGAGTGCCCAGCGACTTTCATGCTCGCTATGCAGCCACCTCCAGGACATACCTGTACCGACTGGTGATGGGCTGTGACTGGCCTCACCAGCTGCCTGTGTTTGAACGAAACCTGTGCTGGGCTCTACCGGCAAAGTGAGTGTGGGCGTCAGTGTCAGGGAGGGTCGGGGCTCACAGGCCTGCCTAGCTGGAACTTTGCTCCTGACATCCTCCTGGCTCCCTCCCTCCAGCCACCTGGATGTGGCTGCCATGCAGGTGGCTGCCCAGCACCTCCTTGGGACACATGACTTCAGTGCCTTCCAGTCGACTGGTAGCCCAACCCCAAGCTCCATCCGCACACTGCGCCACATCTCAGTGTCCCCTGGCCTGGCCAGCCCCTTGGTCCCCTCCTCCCAGGAGAGCAGGTGAGGAGGAGCGGCCTTGTCCTATGGCCCTGCCCCAGGGTGTCCATGTTGGTCTGGAGGCCACAAAGGCAGGTAAGCAGTGGACTGGGTGTGCTGGGCATCCATGGGGCCTGGCCAGCTGGAGGGTGTGAGCCAGACACCCATGAGCCTGTAAGCTGTGCCCTACCCCCAGGCTGAGACCTTGCCAGGCCAAGGAGCAGAGGACAGAATGCTGCCTTTCTCCAAAGACCCCTGCCCTGCCCGGGGCGCTGCCCAGCAGATGGGTTTTGGCAGCTAGTGAAAAGGTTTCATTGCCACTAGTGGTTCCGGCCCAGCTTGGCAGGGTGTGGGTTCCGCTGCCCCTAGCACTCCCCGGTGGGCTTCCTGCCAGGTGGCAGCTGCTGACTTGGAGCCTCCCCAGTTTGGGCCAACCCCATGGGAAGAGGGACTTCTGAGTGGTCAGGCTGGCCCCTCCCTCGGCACCCTGCTTTCTGGCATCTTCACATGGCAAGCCTAGAGCTTCCTGCTGTCTACCTTGAGGGCTGTCGTCAGTCTGCTTTGGATCCCCTCCCACTGGCCACTCTTGGGGACAGGTGGTTGGTCATGAGGGCCTGAGCCTTCTCAGCCTCCTCTGTCTGAGGCCACATGGCAGTTAGGATGGCTGAGGATGGCCAATGCCTACATGTCACAGGTGTCTGTGTCCCTAGGAGGCTACAGTTCTGGAACCTGGAGTTTGAGAGCCAGTCTTTCCTGTACCGACAGGTGGGCTGTCCTGGGCCTTCTTGGGGACGGGCATGGGCAGGCCCCTGTGCCAACCCTGGTGTGGTTACAGGTTCGGAGGATGACAGCTGTGCTGGTGGCTGTGGGGCTAGGGGCTTTGAAGCCAGCCCAGGTGAAGGAGATTCTGGAAAGCAGAGACCCTCTAGGCAAGCACCAGGCTCGTGTGGCCCCAGCCCAGGGCTTGTTTCTGAAGTCAGTGATCTACGGAGACCTTGGGCAGGCTGGTAAGGGGTTCCCGCTGTGCACCCCACTGATTCCTCTCCCCAAGGCTGGATTCTCTGTAGGAGGGAGTTCATGGTGGCAGTCAAAGGCCTCCTATTGTCCTGGCCGATGAGAGTCCAGGTACCCAGTGAGATGGGCAAGGCATGTCCTGGAGTGAGCTGCCTCTGTTCCCCAGGTCTCATGAACAAATCAGAGAGGGGAGGGAGGGCTTTGGGTTGGCCCCTGCCCCAGGCTGATGTAGGGTTGGTCCACAGGTCCTGCCTCCTACACCACACAGAGTCTACAGTATGGAAACTCCCAGTGACTCCGGATGTGCCGGCCCAGCTGCTGGACCTCACTGTATTCACTGCACTCAGCCACCTGGAGCTGCAGCTATCTTGCCTGACCCCCTGCTTCTCTTAGGTCCCTAACGCCTGGGACACCCTTCTCTGCCTAAGTGGGGGCTGGCTCAGTATAGGGTGCAAAAGACAGGTGTGACACCCCGGGGGGCCTGTGGTCCTGCTGCTCTGGGAGCACCTCCCCTTCACCCACAGGGACTGGGGGTAAGAATAAAGACAAGCTGGCCCCAGAGGTCTGTGTATTACTTTGCCACAAAGGTGTGCTTGGGTTGTCCTGTCACGGGACTGTCCTTGTCCCTGGACAAAGTCTGTGCCCAGCCACAGACTTGGTTCACACAGATGCTACAGTGCTGAGGTCAAGGCCCAGGTCCTGGTGGGCACGGTCGCAAGGCAGAGCCACAGGCCTGGGTGGGTGGTGTGTCCACTAAGGGGTCTGGGGGAGACCCTTCTTGAGCAGTGCGGTAAGGAAGCTCCCCAGTTCCTCATCCTGCAGGAAAGGAGAGGAGAAAGGCAGTCATCTCACCCAGCATGTGAGGCCCCCATCCTGACAGGGCATGCCATTAGCACTCCAGGACCCATACCTGGTAGGTCCAGGACACCAGCAGCACCTTGGCACCTGGGTCCTCAGAGTGGGCAGCAGCCTGGATAAGGATGGACTCCACAGTCACAGAGCCATCAGGAAGATGCTGCACACAGTGATCCTTCAGGGTGCTGTGAGGGAGGCCCAGTGAGACCCTGCCTTCCCCTGTGGTCCTGCAGGATGCGGGGCAGACACCTGGGGAGACCACGCCTCCTTCCAGGATGGGGACAGGGTCAGGTACGCACCTCTTGAGGTGGCTGTAGACGCGTAGGGCCATCTCCTGCTCCTTGCGTGTGTCCTGCAGGTGCACACGGCAGGTGAAGCGCAGCTGGTGCTCGGCCAGGCCCAGCTCCTTCAGGGCTTGTTCAGAGGACACCAGTCGGAAGTTCTGCAGAGCAGGGGCGGTCAGGGAGAGTGGGGGTGCCACTTGCCACCCCCACAGGTCACACACTCACGCTGTCCTTCATGATGAGGGTGCCGTGCAAGAGCCGTGGCTTTTTGGCCTCCGGGAGCAGCCCTGTGGGGAGGGCAGCAGCTCTGACACAGCCCCTGCTCCCTGGCCACCCAGTTGCCCGGCGCCCGCCTGCCCCGCATACCCTGTGCCATCTCCCGCTTCAGCAGCCCCAGGGAGATGCCCACGGGGATGCTGGGGCTCGTGGGCAGTGTCACTGTCTCGCCGTTGGCTGGCATGTAGCAGCTGACACCTGGGGACAGAGAGCCTCAGTGCAGGCCGGCCGGTAGCGCGGGCGGGCAGGCGCTGTGCCCCCTCCGGCCCCCAGGCACCTACGCAGCTCCTGCTCGATCTTCTGCCGCAGGAAGCCCATCTTCTTCGCCTCACCGTGCACCAGCAGCACGCTCTCTGGCTCTGCCTGCCCCACCAGCTGCATGATGCCCTTGGCGTCGGCGTGGGCACTGAATGACATGTACTCCACCTGCATCTTAACCTCCAGCTACCGGGAGGGGGGGCACAGCTAGCACCGCCGGGCTGGCCGCCCACACAGCCCGGGACGCGGGGCGGGGGACTCACCACCTGCCGGCCCTCCATCTCCAGCTTGCGCTGCCCACTGAGGATCTTGTGGCCCACAGTGCCCTGCACACAGTAGCCAGGCATGATGACCTGCAGGTCGGGTCAGGCTCAGCCTGGGCACATCAGGGGCTCCTGGGACTCCACATCCACCCCGGAAACTGCTTTCCTCCGGAGCCCTGCTGCAGGCCCTGGGGCCAGGCTGAGAGCCCACCACAGTGCACCTGCTCAGGAGGCTAAAGACCTCCCTGCCAGACAGGTGGGCTGCGTCAGTCTGCCGTCCAGGTTGGACACCAGCAGCCCTCCCCCAGCAGCAACATCCCCCAGGCCAGAGTGGGGCCGGGCCCCTGAGCAGTGGAGGGCAGGGTGCATGAAAGAGCAGCCCTCTGCCCGCACCTGTGGGAGGCTCTCGTGCCCACCTCCCAGGCCCCCGGGAGCGGCCCCACCACAGGGCCCTCACCATGTTCTTCTCGTTTCCTGCCCACTTCCGGAAGATCTGCAGGGACTGGCCGGCATGCAGCATCCCTGGTGTGGCAAAAACAACCTGCAGAACAAACAGGTCAGGACACAAGACTCTGCCACAGGTGCAGAAGCCGCCCTGCCCTGCCCTGCCCTGCCCCGCCCTGCCTTACCATGGGACCTGGGTTGTCAGCAAACGCCCGGTCAAAGGCCTTGATGTGCTTGAACTCAAACATGTTCCTCTGGACAAAGGTCTTCCGGATCTTCTGGTTGGTCCAGGTGATGAAGAGCTTGTAGTAGTGGTTGGCCTTCTCCGTCAGGCCCGTGGAGAAGTAGATGGGCACCTTCAGGTTCATGCGCTCCCTGAGGGCCACAGTGCGGGGCCGCAGGGTCGGCCTGGGCTTCACAGCCCCCAGCACAACACTGTGTGGCCTGGGCTGAGTCACGTGAAGGCTGAGCCCCTGCTAGCTCAACCGTGCCAGCAGTACCTCAGAACTTGGCAGACAGCATCCCTGGGGCTCTTCTGGGGATGCCTGGGCTTGGACCAGTGACCCTGACAACAGCTGACAGTGCTGGCAGGACAGAGCCTCCAGGCCCACAGCAGCCCCTCCACCACAATGAGGCCAAGGCCGGTGTGGCCAGTGCTGCCTCAACTCCTCTGCACCCCACACCCTCCTCAGCTGCGAGAGTAGACCATTCCCGTTCACGGGCTGCCCACCCTGCACTGCCCACATGGGGCGGGGCTCCCTACACAACAGCCCTATGTGTGCCTACCAGAAGGTCTCCAGCAGGATGCAGAGCTCCTGCGCACGGCCCAGCGCAAACACGGGGATCAGCACCTGAGGGTGGCAAGGTAGGCTCAGGGGAACCCAGTGGGCAGCTGCTGTGAGAACCACAACCACTGGTGAACCCCACGGCTGGAGGCAGCCAGTTTCCACTGAGGGGCACCCTGAGATGGAGGGCGTGTCTGGGCCCCAGCCCCCACTGCCTACTGTCCTGCTTCAAACCCCATGTCGGGGACCATGGCCATCCAGAGCCACTACCTTCCCGCCACGCTCCACAGTCTCGTGGACTTTCTTCAAGAAGTCTCGCTCCCGGCAGCGCTTGGAGTCACGGATGGTGGTGGCATAGGTGGACTCCGTGATGAGCAGGTTGGGGCGACACTTATCAATCCAAGCAGCTCTGCAAGAAGCAGGTGCAGCCCATAGTGGCCTGTTCCCATGTTCACAGCTGCCAGGCTGGGAGCCACAGAGCAGACTCAGCCCCAGCCATTTTCCTGCCTCTGGACTCCACAGGAAGCGACTGTACGCAGCACATGGGGCCCATGGGAGCCACTGACATGCTGACCACCCTGGTGCACAGCACTACCACCCTCGCACAGGTCTCCAAGCTCCGGGAGCCTTGGGACAAAGCACACAAGGCCTACTTACCCCAAATGCCGGTCTGGGGTCATGTTATAATCACCCTGGCAAAGAAGGTGGCAATAAGGAGGACATACTGCCATGCCCCGTGGCCCGACCCAAGCCCACCACTGACCGTATAGACCACAGATTCTGAGCCCACTTTAATCTGGAACATGGCAGCCCCCAGCACGTGGCCTGCATAGTAGGCCTTGATTTCCAGCTCGTCATCCACCTGCAGAGGAGGGACCAGGCATGGCAGAAGCAGAGTCATCTGAGCATTTCATCAGTTCCTGCTTTTCTCCCATGACACCCAAGTCTTAATTAACCAAAAGTAACCAAAGATGGCCCAACATGGGAAAAGCACAAGAGATGACAAAGTGTCAAAGGCTCTGCAAATGGAGTCCCCAGGCATGGCTATAAGAACCTGATAAATGCAGGACTGGAAATGTGGGCAAAACTACAAAAAAAGTGCAAATTCTAAAACTAGGAAGTATGGGCTATGGACATAGCTCAGTGGTACAGCACTTGCCTACCAGATGCATGAAGCCCTAGATTCAATTCCCACTACTGCAAAAAGCGGGGCGGGGGGGGGGGTCCTTAGAAGATACATCCTCATCAGGTTTGATCTGGGACAGACAACAAATACTTTGAAAAGGAACTTGGTGTGGGAGTATATGCCTGTAATCCCAGCAATCAGGCTGAGCCAGGAGGATTCAAGTTTGAGGCCAGACTGGGTTACACAGTAGGTCCTGTCTCAATAAAAGAAAAACGAATTAATTAATTAAAACTAGAAACTGCAATAACCCAACATGTGAAATATTTTTTTTTTTGGTACCAGGGATCACACTCAGGACCTCATGCTTGCCAGGCAGGCACTGTGCCGATGAGCTACCTCCCGGCCCCTCCCAACATGTGAATTTAATAGTAACATACTGGGCATAACCAAAAGAAAGAACACTCTCAAGACATCGAGGTGGGAAGGCCAGGCAGGAAGCCAGACAGAATGAGAGGTCTGGCTGAATGGGTCACACCCTCTTGCCAAGAGCCCAAGGCAAAGGGAGCACAGCGGGAAGGCGTCAGGCCAAGGAGCTAACCTGGGTGGAACTGGTGCTGATGCCACCACTCAGCTCCGCAAGGACACAGTCCTCTAAGAGCAGACACAGACAGTGTGCGGGACAGAAAAAGCTCCAGCCCGGAGTCCACGCCTTTTGAAAAGTGGCCCTGGAGGAGCCTCCAGGAAGGCAAGAAGACCACAGGCAGGAGAGGACGGACAAGGCCTTGGAGGAACACAAACCTCCCTCTTCTTACCTGGAAAAGATCCATCAGAATATGGGCCTCTTTAGCCAACTGTCAGGTAAAGAAGCCCCACGCTAGGCAGGGTTGCATACATCTACAGTCCTACACACCTATAATCCTCAGCTAACAGGCTGAGGCAGAAGGATTGCAAGTTCAAGGCCACCATGGGCAGCTTAGCAAGGTCATGTCTCAAAAAAGGGGGCTCAGTGCAAAGGCCCTGTGTTCAATCCCAGCACCAGTCAATCAATCCCAGAAGGGTGAAAGAAAAGAATGTACTTTCTGCTATCTCAGCTGGCCAGCCCTTCCCGCTCAAAACTGCCAGGCCTGACAGCACACTGCTGGCCTGGCTCACATGCGGTGGGCGCTGGCATGGTCACCGAATCACGAGGAGGCAGGCACCACTGCAGGGATGAAGAAACAGGCTCAATGCTATCCCAGGCCTACAGAACCCAGCATGACCTATGACTG